GAAAAGGATCAAATGTCCCGGGAGGTCCAGATGGGAGACTATTGTTCCCTTTTTTTTCCTGAATGTGCAACTGCATCTGGATGTTGTTAAGGATATTCCTCATCTCATTGATTCTTTGCAGAGCTGGTCGTTTGACCATCAAACTGCATTGATCAGCTGGTGACAGCAGAATCCTAGTGATCATACAGATCACCAGCAGCCCTGTTAGAATGTGGCTGTTCTGTCCTAATTCGTTGAAGATCGTCCTCTGTTTGAAGGGCTAGCCAGTCTTATTCTACTTTCAAAATAAGAAATAACAAAAAGAGAGAACAGAGGCCTTGAAGCTGCTAACACCTGGATAGTAGACTGTGGGTAAGAGTATAGGGAATTTTATGGTTTTTCTATTTAAATGATAGCAGTTATTTGCATTTTACATGTAAATCAGCACATATAACTCTATGTAAATCTCTAACTGCTTTTGACTTTATTAAGGGGGAGGAGATGCATTTCCTCTTTTTTTTTACAATGCACAAGTTGCCTCTCTTGCTTTTGGCATTCTATTTTTGTGATAATGTCACATTTTAATAATCACACATTGTGGTAAAATAATGTGTTTAGAACAAAGTTAGACTGAATTGCTTTGGTAATGTCACATATAATATTGAAAGAGGTAATAGTCCTGACAAACCCCCTCCCCAAACACCACGCAATAATGATGACACCAAGCCCTCCTTGCTGTTTCCTTATTATTTGTGCTGTTTGATTCTGTTATCGCCCATCTTTGGGTGCCTAGCTATGCTCTTGACCATACCATGGAAATAAATTATTTACTGGTCCCTAGTGATGTCCAGAAATGGTAACTGCTATGGTATGTAAAAGAGCACAGCCCTAGGTACCACAGAGGCACCAAATCCCACCCAAACTTGGAAGGTAAGAAGAGTCAGCTCTGCTTAGTACTTGGGTGGGCGACCACCAATGAATACTAGGTGCTGTAGTCTGTGTTTCAGGAGAAGGAACTGCCAGGTCTATCTCTAAGTATTAATTTCCTAAGAAAATCCTATAAATTTCCTGTGGTTTTTAAAAGTAGACAGGCGACTTGAAGGCACATGTACCCTAACCCCAGCAAACAGTGTAATGTTTGTTGATCTGAGAAACCTCCAACATGGATAAAATGGCTGGCACAATATGTTCTATATTAGATCAGCTATCAATTACTACTGGGTTGCTGTGAGCTTTTCGAGTTGTATGGCCATGTTCCAGACGCATTATCTCCTGACGTTTCTCCCACATCTATGACAGTCATCCTTGAGGTTGAGGGGTCTATTGGAAACTAGACAAGTGAGGTTTATATATCTGTGTAATGTCCAGGATGGGAGAAAGAACTCTTGTCTGCTTGAGGCAAGTGTGAATGTTGCAAATGGCCACCTTTATTAGCATGTAATGGCTTTTCAGCTTCAAAGCCTGGCTGGTTGCTGCCTGAGGGAGTTCTTTCTTGGGAGGTGTTAGCTGGCCCTGATTGATTCTTGTCTGGAATTCTGCTTCATGAGTGTTCTCTTTTTTTCCTGTCCTGATTTTAGAGTTTTTTTTAAATACGGGTAGCCAGATTTTGTCCATTTTCATGGTTTCCTCTTTTCTGTTGAAATTGTCCCCATGCTTGTGGATTTCAGTGGCTTCTCTGTGTAGTCTGATGTGGTGGTTGTTGTGGTGGTTGTTAGAGTGGTCCAGCATTTCTGTGTTCTCAAATAATATGCTGTGTCCAGGTTGGCTCATCAGGTACTCTGCTATGGCTGACTTCTCTGGTTGAAGGAGTCTGCAGTGCCTTTCATGTTCCTTCATTCGTGTTTGGGCAATGCTGCATTTGGTGGTCCCTATGTAGGCTTGTCCACAGCTGCATGGTATACGGTAGACTCCTGCAGAGGTGAGAGGATCCCTCTTGTCCTTTGCTGAACATAGCATTTGTTGGATTTTCTTAGTGGGTCTGTAGATTTTTTGTATGTTGTGTTTCTTCATCAGTTTCTCTATGTGGCTAGTGGTTTCCTTAATGTATGGTAAGCACACCTTTCCTCTGGGTGGATTTTGTCTTTACTCTTGTGGCTTGTTCTCAGTCTTGCAGCTCTTCTGACGTCTGTGGTGGAGTATCTATTGGTCAGTAGAGCCCAGTCTAGGTGATTCAGTTCACCTTGGAGGAAGTGGGATTTGCAGATTTTTTTTGCACAGTTAGCCAGGGCTTTAATTGTGCTTCGTTTTTTGATTTGAGTGATGGTTGGAGTTTTAATGTAGGTATCTATCAGTGTGTGTAGGTTTTCTGTAAACTGTGTGGCCCAATTGTTGATTGAGTTTGTGGATGACTAGGATATCTAGAAAAGACAGTTTTCCTTCATTTCCTTTTTCCATGGTTAATTGGATGTTTGAGTGGATGCTCTTGAGGTGGTCCAGGAACTTGTTTAGTTCTTCTCCTCCATGGCTCCAAACGGTGAAGGTGTTATACACATATCTGAACTATATAGTGGGCTTTTATTGTTGATGTTCTAGGGCTTGTTTTTCAAAGTGTTCCATGTAGAAATTTGCTATGACCTGGCTGAGAGGGCTCCCCATCTTTTTTCCAGCCATGAAGGCCTTCGACAACATATCAATGATTATATCGCACGTTTGTCTATTTCCATTTTTATTGGAAATAAATACACTGGCACATCAAAAAATCTTTCAAGGCAACTTGCAAGTCATAAAAACATAAACAAATATTAATAACAAGATACACACAATATAGAAGTAATTTCAACTGCCTACATGATAACTACACCCGCTAATATTCAGAAAATAAAATCTGAGAAATTTTTACTGGCATTGAAAAAGCTATAAGGGAATTTACAAAAGAAGCGGAGAAGGCTGTGTATATTGAGATGACAGGCATTTGGAGTACACCAGCTTGGGGAACTACAGTTTGTAGATCAGGAATCAAGCAATTCAGATGCACATGAGGAACAGCTTCAAGAGCTGGTCATGTTTAGCCTTCAGAAAAGAAAGCTGAGAGGAGACATGATGGCCATGTATAAATATGTGAGGGGAAGTCATAGGGAGGAGGGAGCAAGCTTGTTTTCTGCTGCCCTGGAGACTAGGACGCAGAACAATGGCTTCAAACTACAGGAAAGGAGATTCCACCTGAACATTAGGAAGAACTTCCTGATGGTGAGAGCTGTTCAGCAGTGGAACTCTCTGCCCCAGAGTGTGGTGGAGGCACCTTCTTGGGAGACTTTTAAACAGAGGCTGGATGGCCATCTGTCGGGAGTGCTTTGAATGTGATTTTCCTGCTTCTTGACAGGGAGTTGGACTGAATGGCCCATGAGGTCTCTTCCAACTCAATGATTCAAGCTCTCGGGCAGTTTATTGGCATCCAAACTTAGGTGAGAATGCAGATCCTGTTGAAAGCATTATGGTGTGTGGTTTGTTGGCCAGTATGCCTAAATGTAGATGAAGGTCTAGTCTACAAAGATGTTCCCAAATCCTCCTTCCACTTCAGCAATATATGGGTTCACCCTGTTTGTTCAAGAAGCAGTATCCCAAACATGTTGATACTATCCATTCTCAAGTGCATATCTGATGTACTCCTTGTTTACGTTTAAGAATACCTACAGATATTCCAGGGTGTGAAGGAGAGGCAGGGACATGCCCCTGCCACTACTTACCTTCCTACTGTGAAAGGAAAGAGTTGGATACCTGAACAGGAGTACAGTGGTCTGGCTCAAATATGGTTCTTCCGCAATCAGCTGGTTTTAACCTACAAAACCCTATACGGTTCCGGCCCAGTGTATTTGTCCGAACGGATCTCCCTCTACATCCCATCTCGAAATTTAAGATCGTCCGGGGAGGCCCTGCTCTCGACTCCGCCACTATCACAAGTGAGGTTGGCGGGGACGAGGAGCAGGGCCTTCTCAGTGGTGGCCCCTCACCTGTGGAACTCACTCCCCGGGGAGATTAGATCAGCGACCTCCCTTTTGGCGTTCAGGAAAAAACTGAAGACCTGGATATGGGACCAAGCTTTTGGACATTCTGGCAGCTAAGGGAAGATCTGACGATAAACATGGGCGAATGGAATGGAATGGATATACGGAACTCTGAACACTGAGCATGAGATTGTTTTGCTATTTTATTATGTACTAATGTTTTTAACTTGTTAACTGTCTAAATTGTTGTAGGTATTGTTTGTTTATTGATTCAGGCATCGAATTGTGCCGTTGTTTGTAAGCCGCCCTGAGTCCCCCCTCGGGGGTGAGAAGGGCGGGGTATAAGTAATTTAAATAAATAAATAATAAATAGAGCAACTATGTGCAGGCAAATAGGATGAGAGTCTGACTTTGAACCTTATTTATTCATATGGGGAAGATAGGGATAATTGAAACAGGTCTGGAATATACATACCTGTCTTTCTTGCACACACTGGAATTCAGGGTGGTACAGTTGCAGCAAAAACAACACCGATTCTTGGCTCACCTTAAAGTCTAACAGGTTTTACTTACCATTAACCTTTTTTTGAACACCAGCCTATTTCAATAAGTCTTTGGTCGGACTGAAACAAAGAAGTATTTGTAACAGGAAAAAAGAAGACAGATTATTTTTTTCTATTTGCACTGCAGTGTTCCCTGTCTTTGTGAAATGTTCACTGGTTTTCCAGAAAAAATACAATGAAATGATATGTTTGCACAATACACAACTAACGGCTTCTGCAGTATCATACAATAGCGCTGCCCTTTCCTTCTTCATGTTTTCTCATTTGTATCTCTCTTTCTCTCTCTGTGTGTGTATACACACACACACATACACACATACATACACTATTTTATCAAGTTCTCTTTGTCCATGGACTTTATAGGGCTGGATGAAATGTTGAATTAGAACAAGGCGGCTGAAGGAGGAAAAACATTAGGCTGCAAGTGACTAGTATTCTCCCTAGCTGTTCTAGGTGGATGAGGGCATAGTAAATCACTCTTACATGTTTCGTGATATCTCTCTTTCTCTCTCTCCAGGTTTTTGTCAAGCAGGCAAAGATTTGCGGTTAGTATCGCTGTGTATGGAACAGATCGATATCCCGGCAGGCTTCCTGTTGGTTGGAGCCAAGTCTCCAAATCTTCCTGAGCACATTCTAGTCTGTGCTGTTGACAAGCGGTTTCTGCCAGATGACCATGGAAAAAATGCACTTTTAGGTAAATGGATTTTCATTCATTATTCTTCTTGCCATGATAAACATATGGTGTCCAGAGGCTGGATTACTGTAAGGGTAAGCCAATTCAGTGCATTTGTTTTTCATCATGATACCCTGAAATTTGTTTTAAAAGGCTCTTCTTAAACAAGATCTGAATCTTGTATTTCAGTTTTAATATTGCTATAAAGTCAGAGGCACTTAAGGACTGTCCAGAGGATACATTATACAGATGTAATGTCAGCAACTGTGCTGCTGCCTCTGCCAGGATTGATGCATATGTGGGAGTCTTTGGAGTTCACGGCAAGTCTGCCAATGGTGGTGGTGGTGGGGAAGGGATAAGGTGGAAGGGACTGGGGAGAACTCTTTGATTTACCATTGTAATGTTCTGGAATTGTCTGCAATTCCAGCCTCCCATGGCTTCATTTGATAATAAACACTGATGTGCAATTACTGCCATAAGATAAGCTTAGTTGGCGATAAAATGATGCAGTAGGATCTCTATCACAGATAAGCTTTTGCTGATGATGTTCACCTCTTAAACAACTACTTCTATCCTTGGTTAGAAATCTAATTCCCCATGATCATGCGCTGGCCTTCATCCCTCTTAGTGCAAAATCATAGAACCATTTGCTTGGAAGAGCCCTCAATGCATTTTGACCATTGGACAAGCTGGCTAAGGTCTCTGGAAGTTAAAGTTCCAAACACCTAGAGGGCCACAGGTTGTTCAATTCTGATCTTGAGCATTTCGTGCAAGTAGCTCCCCAGACTCTTTTTGAAGACATCTTGAAAAGTAGATTTCACTGGAATGCAGTTGGCTCCATTGGTGTCCTGGTGGTGGGTACGTAGGTGACTGTGGAGTCCTATTCTTGACGTGCATGTTCTCCCACAGTGAGGGCATCAGTTTCCAGGTGGAAGGCGGTCCCGGTCGGGGTTGGCTTCACATGCTTTCCTCTTGGCACTTTTCTCTCTTTCACCCTCCATTCGTGTCTCTTCAGATTCTACAGCACTGCTGGTCACAGCTGACCTCCAGCTAGAGTGCTCAAGGACCAGGGCTTCCCAGTTCTCTGTGTTTATGCCACAGTTTTTAAGGTTGGCTTTGAGCCCATCTTTAAATCTCTTTTCCTGTCCTCCAACATTCTGTTTTCCATTCTTAAATTTGGAGTAGAGCAACCACTTTGGGAGACCGTGATTGGACCTTCGGACAACGTGGCTGGTCCAGCGGAATTGATGGCGGAGGACCATCGCTTCAGTGCTGGTGGTCTTTTCTTCTTCTAGCATGCTGACATGTGTCCACCTGTCTTCCCAAGAGATTTGCAGGATTTTTCAGAGACAACACTGATGGAATTGTTCCATCAGTGTTGTCTCCGAAATACTGATGGAACATAGAATCATAGAATCATAGAATCAAAGAGTTGGAAGAGACCTCATGGGCCATCCAGTCCAATCCCCTGCCAAGAAGCAGGAATATTGCATTCAAATCACCCCTGACAGATGGCCATCCAGCCTCTGTTAGAGACATGTGACGTCTCTAGATAGTCCACGTTTCACAGACATATAGCAGGGTTGGGAGGACAATAGCTTTATAAACAAGCACCTTGGTATCCCTACGGATGTCCTGGTCCTCAAACACTCTGTGCTTCATTCAGAAAAATGGTGCACTTGCAGTGTTGTATTTCAGTGTCAATGTTGACTTTTGGAGAAAGGTGGCTGCCAAGGTAGCGGAAGTGGTCAACATTTTCTAATATTACACCATTAAGCTGTATTTCTGGCATTGCCGATGGGTTGGTTGGTGATTGCTGGAAGAGCACTTTGGTTTTCTCGATGTTCAATGACAGGCCAAGCTTTTCATATGCTTCTGCAAAGGTGTTTAGAATGACTTGTAGGTCTTCTTCTGAATGTGCACAGATGACGTTGTCATCAGCATATTGCAGGTCTATAACAGATGTTACAGATTTCCCCCCATAAGCATGGTGTTAAAAAAGCAGATTTCTTTAGGCAGCCGTATTTTGAGAACTGCATATCTGGTTGTTCCTGCAAATTGTACTCGGTTTGCCTGAGGTTGTCTTAAAAATGTCACTACTCCAGATGGAATCCTGTCTTACTCAGTTCTGGAGTGGTATTTGTTTGCATGAAGCACTTTCACTCCAGCTTTTCAGGAAGTAAGTTCAAAACCATATATGTTCAGTATTTTCTTTGGCTGCATGAATAATAATTTTTCTGTATTACTATTTTGAGTAGCATAACTTTGATCAGAGATAACAATGCAATTTACTTGCCTATCTCACTCCACATTAAGATAATCCCAGAAAATTATAGGTGTTCGGATGAGGAGCAGTTTATGGAAGGGGAGGAGCGTCTCTTGAGTCAGTTATAGCTTATAGTGACCCAGAGATCACAGGAACCGACATGTTGATCTTATCAATAACCCTACATGTTTCATAACACATTCATAAAACAATAGTCCTGGAGTTATTAGTAAGATCAGCATCTTATTAATTGAGTTTTGAACAATTTTTATGGTTAGGTTTGTGAATTTTAGTGAGCATATGGGAAAAGGGGCAATATGTCGTCTGGTTTATATAAAAACAGTTAGGAGGGGAACACATGTGATGGGAGAGAACAAATGTGAAGTTATAGGAACAATTAATTTCATGATGAAGCCAGACATGTTAAATCGGTCAGTGAAGCTCAAGTACAATCTCAGTCTCAGGTAGCTGAATGTCATTTATCCCTTTCAGAAGGTGGAAATGTTTAAGTATGTGTGATGTTTTGGAAACATAAAATTCAGGATGGTATTTAGCTGTATTTTTTATACAATGGAGCCCTCGGTGGTGAGGCGGGTTAAACTGCTGAGCTGCTGAACTTGCTGACCAAAAAGGTTGGTGGTTCAAATCCATGGAGTGGGGTGAGCTCCCGCTGATAGCCCCAGCTCCTGCCAACCTAGCAGTTCGAAAACATGCAAATATGAGTAGATCAATAGGTGCCGCTTCTGCGGGAAGGTAACGGCACTCCATACAGTCATGCTGACCACATGACCTTGGAGTCTTCTACAGACAATGCCAGCTATTCAGCTTAGAAATGAAGATGAGCTCTACTCCACAGAGTTGGACATGGCTAAACTTAAACCTTTACCTTTACCTTTATTCAGAGTAATTGGATATGTAGTGTTTTGTGTGGGTGTTCAATATACTTCAAATACAGAATAAGCTTCTCTTCTTGATTGCTAACAATATGTACCTCTTGAATCTTTTTTTCTGTCTTTTTAATTTAAATTTCCTGTTTAGTACACCGTTTACATTATATTTTTGCATGTTTCTTTAAAAGTATCCCTAAAACTAAGCATATGTGAAGTGTCCAAGTTGCAACGTATTCCATTTTATTATTTCAACAACTTGTATTGGAGTGGTGAAGAGCCAGTGTAGTGTAATAGTTTGTGCATTGGACTAGGACTGTGGCATGGGATACCAGAGTTCAAATCCCTGCTTGGCCATGAAAAACTAATGGCCATGAAGGACCTTGGGCAAGTAACACCCCTTCCAACCCTAGAAGAAGTCAATGGCAAACTTGCCTTGTCTCACCCCCACCCTCAAATCTTTTAAAAGATTCCCCTTAGGGTTGCTGTAAGTCAGGACTGTGTACGTAGCATACAACAACTACTATAAGAAAACAGCAAACATCTTTAAATGCATACGAGAAAGGTTTCATCATATGTTTGTTTTGCCCTTTGAATTTAGTATGTGGCTCCAATATTAAAATATACATACCCTAGGAGCGGCACGTTTCCTTTTGCTTCAGTTTAGAGAAGTTGCTAAATGTTTAAAATGACTTAGCTTTCATTTTAGTTAAATATATTCACCATACCCATTTTGCAAACTGTTAATTAGACTTCTAAAAAAGATAATGCAATATTGGCCACGATGCATTTTTCTATGGGAATGGTGATGTTTAACAAATGGCTTAGCAACAAATTACAATGACAGAAGAAGGCGGCTTTGTGATGACTCACCTACTGACTTTCATTTGCTTTCTGCCATCATAGAAAGACATCTTTGAAATCAGTGGGAAATCTACAGTAGGTCAATATATAGCCCTCACTATATCCCGTGAAGCCCAATTAAAGATGTAATTTAGCCACCTTGCAAAACTAGTTTGACCCTCTGACCTCTTCTCCCAAGTCTTTTATGTTTAGAAGAAATTACAGCACTCTTTAGAGTGATGGGCTTTCAACTTTTGTTTCAATGGCACTAAGTGCTTTGCCTCAAATATTTACTTATTTATGCTTTATTAGAACATCCTGTAAGAGAAACAATATGCCATGGCCACCTGGGTGACTTCTTACTGGAACAGAAGGGAGATGTACTTATTTTTCTCTCTCCCTCATTCCTTTAAGACACCTGAAATAAATATATTATATTAAATTGAAATGAGAGCCTCTGAAAATGCAGAGAAACCTGATGCAACATTAAAAGTGAATTGATAAGGGCATTTTTCCCTGCTAACCCTAGCAAAGAAAGGTAGTTTTTAAAGACATCTACCAAATGACTTCATTTTCCTAAGATTGCTATGTTAATGTGAGTTTGAGTTTAGTCTCCTTTGAAATGTCACTCTAGCACAGGAGTGAGAACCCTTTTTTTTCTGTTGAGAATCATGTTACTTTGGGTGAAACCACAGTTTGGAAAATGTTTTATTTTATTTTATTTTTGGCACTCTTAACTCTCAGAATTGGCCCGGCTGGTTGTGGGATTGTGGAAATTGCTCTTTCCCAAAATTATTTTCTCAAGTTGTGGTTGAAACCTGTCAGAGTTTGCTCATGACCATAACCAAGCATGCGTGGGTTACATGTTTCACTCTTCCCAGAGATCTAGACTGAGTCCTTAAAATCCATGTTTGGACCATAGATCAGCAACTTAGAAAGTACATGAATGATTGAAATCAAAATTGGTGCAACGTGGAAAATAATAATGGTTTTGATTTCTATTCTTTCTTTAGCATGCTATTTGTGCGTGATGGTGCTATATTAGTAAAGACAATATGTGTCCACTAGATGACTGGTGAATAAAGTTGAATAGATACATTATTAACCTTGCTGATAGCAATGAAATGGCTTGCTACACAGATTATCATGGGAAAACATCTCTTTCACCTCTCATATAGGTTTTTCTGGAAACTGTATAGGCTGTGGAGAAAGAGGATTTCGATATTTCACTGAATTTTCCAACCACATCAACCTGAAGCTCACCACTCAGCCAAAGAAGCAGAAGCACTTAAAGTACTACCTAGTAAGAACCTCTCAAGGTGTGCTGTCAAAGGGACCCCTTATATGCTGGAAAGGTAACAAGTGTCCTGTTAAATATTAGAGAAGTTGAAATGTAGCTTGATTAGATGTGAAAGTTACATTTTTATTTATAATAATAATAATAACAATAACAACAACAACTTTATTTTTATACCTTGCCTCCATCTCCCCGAAGGGACTTGGGGCGGCTTACATGGGGCCAAGCCCAAACACATAGAATTAAAAACATAGCATATAAAATATTAAAACAACATAAAAACAACATTATAACAATAGTAAGACAAGCATCATAAGCAACAACCGAAATACTTCAAGTCTCATTATGGCTGGGGGGGGGGGGGGGGGGGGTGCTGGTGTGCAAACATGTTAGAAAATAGGCTGGTCAATAAGGTGCATAGGTCATATAGCAACATAGGGATAGAGCAGTTATAACAGGGTCATTATAGCTTGAAAAAAGTACAGTAGTCAAATATAGGGACTTGATTTTAGGCCATGGTTAGGGACCCTCTGTCAAGAAATTGTCAATCAAATGCACAGTGGAACCTCCATGTCTTTAGTTCCTTACAAAACGCGAATAGAGAGGGTGCTAGCCCGATCTCCCTGGGAGAAAGTTCCAGAGCCAAGGGGCCACCACTGAGAAGGCCCTCTCTCTCATCCCCACCAACCGCGTCTGAGACGGGGGATGGGAACGAGAGAAGAGCCTCCCCAAAAGATCTTAGAAACCATGTGGGCTCGTAGGGGAAGATACAGTCACGAAGATAGGCAGGTCCTGAACCGTTTAGAGCTTTATAGTTGATAACATGCACCTTGAATTGGGGCTGGAAATTTATCAGCAGCCAGTGGAACTGTTTAAACAGCTTCTTTTTTAAAAAATGGATGGGTTTGGAGTCCCAAGATGAAGTACACCATTACACTGTTCTTTTTAGTCTTTGGAAGATAACATATGGTTTCGGTTGTCTCTAACAGTTACTGAAGGCCTATTCCACAAGTCATATAAAAACAAAGTTGGGTTTATGACCAAATTAATGTCCAATATCACCTTCAGCTAATCATATTTCTTCTACCCGCCATGATATCCTGAAAGGTTGTTTAGGGTGTACATTTTAAATGGGGCAAGCAGCGAAAAATACTTTGGGGCCTTGAAAGTTCAGTGTTCCTGCATGAACCATTTTTTTCCCTCATGTATGCCAGTTAATTGACCAGGATATGGTGAGTGAATGTATTCAGAAGATTAGAATTTTTCACTGAGATAAGAGTATAAAATTCATTTTAGAGAATATTATTTTCTGTGCAGAAAATGCTGTTTTCTGTACAAAAATGCCATCGTATGTAGAATAAACCTTGAACTGTGAAAAGTCTCTACAAACTGAACAGCTCTAAGCATTTTCTTGCAGGGGGGTGACAAATGCTAAAATTAGTTGTTGCTTCTGTTGATAAGAAAATTAGCAAAGAATTATATCCCTACATTAAAACCATTATTGAATTGTCCCTCCTCCACCTTCACACAACTGAAGTATAAGTGACTGTTTAACTGAACAAAATTCTTGATGACATTGCAGCAGTTTTGCTTTACAATGAACTCAACTGTTGAATGTATAGCCTTTTTGGTTTTTGAAAAGAATGTGTTTTTATACCTTTTGATGAGTTTAATTAACATTTGTTAATTAATGCTGTATTTTCTCACTGTCAAGTCAGGCTGCCTTAATATGTACTATAGCTGCTTCACTTGCAGAATGTAGAAGCAGGCAATCTTCTGCTGCTAGCCATTCTGTTAAACCTAGTTCATCCGCATCTCCATCCATGACCGCTGAGAGTGGAACTGCTAATGGATACAAGCCAGGGTTCACACAAACAGGTAGGGGTAGAGAATTAATTGTGTCCTAAATCTGATGCTTGTGAAGTAGTGGCTGGCTACCATTTTGGCTTCTTGTGATTACAGTCAATCCTGCATATTTGCTGTTTTGACTTTTGTGGATTTGGTTGTTGATTAAAAGTGTTATCTCTAGGAATCTTTAGGTACTCCAGTGTGACTCTGTGATCAACTTCCTCCAGAACACCTCTGTAAGAATTGCTTGGTTCTCCAGTGCAATTCTGTGGTCATCGTCAGTGGAAGACGGAAATCATTTTGGAAAACCTAGAAATTCCTATAGAGGTGTTCTCCTAGGTTTTTTAAAAAATAGCACTTCCTTTATTTGCAATTTTTCACTTTCACAGGGGTCTTATTCCACTATTCCCAGTTGCATATAGGAGGGCTGGTTTTACATGTCTTGAGGTTTCCAATAACCAAAGAAGTAATCTATCCAAGTGTGGCAATCCATGTCCAAGATGCATTAATTTCAGTGTGAAGAAGATCTGCACAAAGCCCACTTGAAATTGGAGCCTTGTGGGGCATTTTTTCCTCTTGTGGTTACAGGAAGGGAAGGCTCATAGATACATCCTTCCCACTGTCCTATACTGGAGAAAAGTCTGAATTAGGAAGTTTCTTCTATATCCCTTTATATGATTTTGAAACCTGGAATGGATGTGGGGAAGGACCCTATCCATGTTGATGAGGTTCTCTTCAGATCTTCCCTATCTGGGCAATGGGGCTAGTGAAGTCTCTGATGTCCTCTCCTACAATTGTAATAATCTGAGAGGACAGTTGCTGCAAAGGGCTACATCTAAATGTCAATGCATTGTGGATCACACTTATATGTTAAGCAGAGGCTCCTTACATCCAAGTTGGTTTGAGTGTTAGACTACAACTCTGGAGAACAGGGTTTAGATCCCCGTCTTGGAAATCCTCAGACCAAAGTCAAATAAGTCACATTCCATTTTTGAGGAAGGTAAGGCAAAACCTGGATAAATATTTCCAAGAAAAACCCATGATATGTTAGCTTTCATGGTCGCCAGAAGTGATTTGAAGCTACACAACAACAGTGTTGACATTGGCCAATGTTTCAATGCAACTGAACTTACTGTTTGAAAATGCTATCTTAAAAACAGTGTAACTGTTTTCTTTTTTATTATAATTTGTTTGAAAGATTCCTAAATATATTTTATGATCATTGCCAGGATGTTTGAAAGGAAATAAGATACTTACAGTTAGTGTGATCCCTTTAACTCTGACCTAGAGACAGAGGAGATGAAGGGTCACAAACCCTTTTCTGCTCCCTCCATTCCTGGGATCAAGTTCTTCAACCCCCCCCCCCCCGAAATTCTCATGGTGGTCCGCGAGAAGGCCTTACTGGTACATTATTTAAACTGTTATGTTTATTCATATCATGATCTGATCACCATGCTCAATATATCCCATATGCATGGGGGTATTGGGGTAACGATACAAAAGGTTTGCTAGGGTAGACCCTCTTTCACTCGGACTCAGCTCCCCCAAACCAAACTCAGCCCCCCCCCCCCCCCCCCCCCCGAAACAAAATCCTGGCTACGGGCCTGTTCTTTGGCTTAGCTTAATTCAGCTGAAGTGTTAAGATGGCATGGGTAGCTTTGCACTGGCACATAGTGATGATTAATACTATAAAGATCTAAGTCACTATAAATGTATAGATGAATAGAAGTTTTAATGTTAAAATGGCATTCTCTATTGGTCAGAATGCTAACGTCTATCTATCCATCATCTATCCATCTATCTATCTCTCTACTATTAATACCTCACTTATTCTTATCGGAAGAGAGTTGAGTAGTCAATGGTAATCTCTCCCTAGTAAGATAACACTTTAAAGGAACAAGAATCATTCTTATGCTGACACTTAAACTTCTGAACTAGCTTAAGAATGTTTAAACAGGAGGCAAAGGATGTTTACATTTTTATGTTTTGAAATATTGCCTTTGAAGTTTCCTGGCACAGAAACATATACTCAGAAGAGTAGCCATTCTGTCTCTAATAATGAGTAAGCCAATATAGACATAGTTTTGTCTTGGGTTACACCTGCCAAGGCTGTAAAGTTACTTTCTGTTTTATTCTTTTTTTGGCTCATTGTTATTTTGTTTGGTTACTTTTTCTGTATTACTGTTTGCCTGAGAGGTCAAAGTTGTGAAAACATTGTTTTAAAGCAAAACAAATATTTTTCTAGATACAAAAGCTTTCAGCAAATATATTACAAGTTGAGCATCTCTTATCCAGAATTCTGTAATCCAAAATACTCCACAGAGTTCAAAATTATCCACATGGGAGCTGAAATATTGACACTTCTTATCATTCATGTTGCTGATGTTGTTGCATGGCTTCAAGTTGTTTATGACTTATGGTGACCCTAGAAAATCCAACTGCAAGGTTTTCTTGTCAAGATTTGTTTAAAGGGGTTTTTTTTGTCCTTACATTCCTCTGCAACTAAGAAAATGTGACTTGTCCAAGGTCACCCAGTGGATTTCCATGGTGGAACGGAGATTCAAAGAGATGTAGTCAACACTTTAATTATGACAACATGATTCCTGCCTTATTGTTAATACTGACGATTTCTACAGGTTGACACAGATAGAAGTCCCTGATTTGGTGAACTAACCAAGGCGAACAAAGCTGCTGGGTCTAGGAAACACTAAAATCTTGATTATCTGAAACAGGTTTATCAGCAAAGCCAATATGGATTTCTGTTGTTGGGCAGTATGATTTCAGAATACAGACAACTCAAACCATTATATCAGTATTTTCTTCTATCCCAGAGGGCCACTGTAGCTCAGTGGGTTAAACTGCTAGCTACAGAAAAACTTGCTGACCGGAAGGTTGGCAGTTCGAAGCCACAGGTTGGTGTGAGCTCCCACTGTCAGCCTGAGCTTCTGCCTACATAGCAGGTTGAAAACATGTAATGTAAGTAGACCAATAGGTACCACCTCGGCGAGAAGGTAAAGGACACTCTGCAGCCTTGCTGGCAAAACATGATCCGGAGGGTCAACGGACAGCAGGCTCCTGGGCATGGAAAGCTCCCCATGTGGAGACATGAGAGAAGCCTCCCACATGGATGGTAAAACATCAAACACCCGGACATCCCCTTGGCAACATCTTAACAGATCATAGAATCATAGAATCAAAGAGTTGGAAGAGACCTCATGAGCCATCCAGTCCAACCCCCTGCCAAGAAGCAGGAATATTGCATTCAAATCACCCCTGACAAATGGCCATCCAGCCTCTGCTTAAAAGCTTCCAAGGAAGGAGCCTCCACCACACTCCGGGGCAGAGAGTTCCACTGCTGAACGGCTCTCACAGTCAGGAAGTTCTTCCTAATGTTCAGATGGAATCTCCTCTCTTGTAGTTTGAAGCCATTGTTCCGCGTCCTAGTCTCCAAGGAAGCAGAAAACAAGCTTGCTCCCTCCTCCCTGTGGCTTCCTCTCACATATTTATACATGGCTATCATATCTCCTCTCAGCCTTCTCTTCTTCAGGTTAAACATGCCCAGTTCCCTAAGCCGCTAATTCTCTCACACCAGAAGTGACTTTCAGTTTCTCAAATCACTCCTGACACGAAAAAAGATAGAAAGAGCATCTCCCCATAGCCAGAGTTGAGCATCACCCCCAGACGCTGGAGATGGAAAGGGAAAATGTTGCCTTTGTGTATTGTATGTCATTGTTCACAGCATAAAAGGCATTTAATGTTTGCCTATATATGTGTATACTGTAATTCGCTTTGAGTCCCCTCAAGGAGAAAGAGAGGAATATAAATAAAGTGCATTATTACGTCTTCTGTATCACTGTTTGCCTGGGGGCAGAGCTTTACATACAAGTTTTTCATGAGAGTTTTGGACCCATCTCCCAGAATTTCACAGTTAGCTAGTGCAATGGCTATATTAGGTGGGAGATTCCGAGAACTGTCATCCAAAGAAGTAAATCTTTTAAGCTCTGATTTTGACATTCTGCAAAACACAATGCTACAAAAATAGAGACAGTGACATATATGTGCGTGCTTCTAGCCTTGGCACCTCACTTTGGGTAAATACCTCCTTTCAGAATGCCTCTAGTTTTTGTTCTGGGAATGATATGTCTGTTTATGCCTAGTATTTAAAAAAATTAATAATTCACAAACCTGAGAATCAGGAACCTGCAAATTCCGATCTTGGCTTTTACACTGTCTTTCTTCCGCAAGAACATTTATTTATCAATGTTTTCCAAATAGTACTAGTCTCCTAAGATACAAAAAATTCTGTCTGCAAGTAGCTTTAAAAGATTTTGTTGTAAAACGTATAATTTTAGTAACAGTTTATAAATGCTTTGAATGTGTGGAATGCCTTATACATTATGATGCTGAGGATATTTTGATAGATTCTCAGGTTTGTAATGGCTTCTAAGGGAAGAACTATGTATGTTAAATTCTCAGGAAAATTCCAAAGTTAATGTAGATTTTGCCTAATAGTTATTTACAACAATCTCTTTGACAGATTCCTCAGTATTCAATCAAGCACAATCTTCATCTGCTGTTAATTTAAGTGGAATTCAAGATTTGTCACGGAATAAGAATGTAGTGAGACCACTTGCTTTGCCTGTGCAACTTGTAGGAAACACATTTGCAACAGGTAATGTCTTCCCAGAAATTCAGAAGGACTAACAGGGTATGTAAGAAAGTAGCCAATTTAATCAGATTTGTGAAAGTATTTATGAAATATCATGGCAAAAATTATGTTCTGTGTCACTTTTCTGGAGTAAAGAAACTTGAAGAATGTCGAACCTCTTCCCCCCAATGTTTGAAATAAATCTAAAATCTTGCCTTTATCACTTGATGTCAATAAGGTCTTCCACCTACAATACCCATGTATTATTTCATAATGATCATACAAGTATGTGAAACAATATTTGAGTTTTTATTTCATTGGGTTGCTGTGAGTTTTCCAGGCTGTATGGCCATGTTCCAGAAGCATTCTCTCCTGACATTTCGCCCACATCTATGGCAGGTGTCCTCAGAGGTTGTGAGGTCTGTTGGAAAGTAGGCAAGTGAGGTTTACATGTCTGTGGATTGTCCAGGATGGGAAAAGGGACTCTTGTCTGTGTGAGGCAAGTGTACATGTTGCAAATGGCCACCTTGATTAGCATTTAATGGCCTTGCAGCTTCAAAGCCTGGCTGGTTGCTGCCTGGGAGATCCTTTGTCGTCTGTGCGCATTCAGAAGAAGATCTACAAGCCACTCTAAACACCTTCGCAGAAGCATATGAGAAGCTCGGCCTGTCACTGAACATTGAGAAAACCAAGGTGCTGTTCCAGCAGTCACCAGCCAATCCCTCTCCAATGCCAGTAATACAGCTTAATGGTGTAACATTAGAAAATGTGGACCATTTCCGCTAACTTGGCAGCCACCTCTCCACCAAAGTCAACATCGACGCCGAAATACAACACCGCCTGAGCTCTGCAAGTGCAGCATTTTCCAGAATGAAGCAGAGAGTGTTTGAGGACCGGGACATCCGTAGGATACCAAGGTGCTTGTTTATAAAGCTATTGTCCTCCCAACCCTGCTCTATGCCTGTGAGACGTGGACTGTCTACAGACGTCACATGCAGCTCCTGGAACGTTTCCATCAGCGCTGCCTCCGGAAAATCCTGCAAATCTCCTGGGAAGACAAGCGGACAAACGTCAGTGTGCTGGAAGAAGCAAAGACCACCAGCATTGAAGCGATGGTCCTCCAACATCAACTCCGCTGGGCCGGCCACGTTGTCCGGATGCCTGACCACCGTCTCCCAAAGCAGTTGCTCTACTCCGAACTTAAGAACGGAAAACGGAACGTTGGTGGACAGGAAAAGAGATTTAAAGATGGGCTCAAAGCCAACCTTAAAAACTCTGGCATAGACACTGAGAACTGGGAAGCCCTGGCCCTTGAGCGCTCCAGCTGGAGGTCAGCTGTGACCAGCAGTGCTGCAGAATTTGAGGAGGCACGAGTGGAGGGTGAAAGAGAGAAACGTGCCAGGAGGAAGGCACGTCAAGCCAACCCCGACCGGGACCGCCTTCCACCTGGAAACCAATGCCCTCACTGCGGAAGAAGATGCAGAGCAAGAATAGGGCTCCACAGCCACATACAGACCCACAAGGAAATCCATAATGGAAGACCATCTTACTCGTCCAACGAGGGATCGCCTAAGTAAGTTGGGAAGTGTTAGCTGGCCCTGATTGATTCTTGTTTGGGATTCCCCTTTTTAGTGTTTCTCTTTATTTACTTTCCTGATTTTAGAGTTTTTAAATACTAGTAGCCAGATATAAACCTCACTTGCCTAGTTTCCAACAGGTTTTTCAACAACCCAGTGATTCCGACCATTAAAGCCTTCGACAATATATCTGCTTTTCTTCTAAAGCTCAGGTTAGGAAAAACAGAGGTGAGAGTTGAGATATATGGGAGTTCGGTTTGGTACTCAGTTATCATCTTATTGTTGCCTTATTTGATTCTGCAACACATTTGTTCCTTTCCCAATAGTCACCTAAAGGGGCACTCTGTGTTTTGTTGCATTCAGCTCCCCTGCCTCTCCATGCCTCTGATGTTGCTAGTGGAAACAACAGTGGAGGAAGGATGAATGCAATGAGCTCTCCAATTGCTCGCCCTGTGCCTCATTCAATGTCTCCTGGGCCTAGCTGTGTGGCGGGGGAGCAAGGTAATTGCTTTTTTAAAATAAAAAAAATCTTTCAGATTTATCACTATTTACTTCCTCATTATTCCGGCCAGCATTTGAATGTTCTGATAAGAATTTTCAGTGAATTAAGGTACAGGAGAACATTGGATAATCTGTAGAAGGATAAAAAGGATGCTATTGTATATTTGCCATGTTGTTTTCTCTACTTCCTTGATTGATGTGATGAGTGTTTGTGCATATATTTAGTATCCTCAGACTGTCCAACAAAATATGGGGCCAGAATTGGGACTGGTTGTCTAATTCATAGTAATTCTTATTGCTGGTTAAAATTATGTGAGATGAAAAGTAGTACCTTGCTCTAGAATTAGCAATTCTGGGTGTGAACAAAGCTTTTGGACATCAGGTTCATATGCCTTTTTTTGGTATTCCAGAGGTCACACAGATATTATGTCTCATATCACTAAACATCTTCAGGGCTATTCTGTGATTGGACTGGTTATCATATATTTAATTTACTGGATGGTTGGGAGAGGGATCCTTCCTCCTGGAGTAAGCTAATTCAGTGCAAAATCTATCAATATACCTTTTGGTGATCTCCTCCAGGACAGCCAGCTTTATCGCTCTATCTCCCTGGGTGCATCTGCATTATGGAATTAATGCAGCTTGGCATCATGGCATGGCTTAGTTCTGTGGAATCGTGGAGGCTGTTTTAGCCTTCACTATCAAATAGTGCAGGTGCCTCACCAAACTACATGTCCCCTAATTCCCTGATGCTGAACCACAGTAGTTAAGCAGTGATCCCCAAACTTTGGTCCTCCAGGTGTTTTGGACTTCAGCTCCCACAATTCCTAACAGCTGCTAAGATAGCTGGGATTGCTGGGAGTTGAAGTCCAAAACACCTGGAGGACCAAAGGTTGGGAACCACTGACTTAAAGAGATATCAAAAGCATTAAATGCACTAACTGTGGTTTGCTATAAATGTTGTGCACAAGTGAACATCACAGATTGTCCAAATTGTGATGTTGGTATCTACAAGACCAGTGGTTCTCGACCTGTGGGTTTCCAGGTGTTTTGGCCTACAACTCCCAACCAGTTTACCAACTGTTCGGATTTCTGGGAGTTGAAGGCCAAAACATCTGGGGACCCATAGGTTGAGAACCACTGTACTAAACATTACCCCCAATCAAGATGTTATCTATTTAGGTTAAGTAAACACATGAGGAAGGATCCAATTCCTTTGCCTTGCTTTCCCTTGCACAAAGAGTGACACCATGGAGAAAAGAGCCTCTAGCCATGGAGGCTCTTCTTCCTTCTCCAGTTTTCCAGAGCAGCTCCAAGACTGGCTCCTTATCCCTTGTATCGAGCATGCGAGGAATAGAACAAAGTGCAACTTTGGAGTCAACCCGAACAGTACAAAAATTGTCTATGCTCATCAGACCTTATGTAGAATCCCCAACTAAAGCAAATCCCTTTAAGGTTCTCTGTGCTGTTGTATCATACATATTCAATGGAGTTTTTTGGCTTGCAGCTGTTATTGTTCACTCCTGTTGCAATAAAAAGTTGATGCAATATGTCTAATTAGAGAATACACCTAATAGGAGAAATCGTTTACATCAAGATCCAATTGCAGATTGGTTACACTTTTGAAAGAGAGAGATGGAGATCTGCACCATGCAAGACTGAACTGTTGTACTTCTCATTCTTTATATGTGCTTTCATTTATGTCAACCTAGCATCCATGTCTAGTTCTGGGCCTCCAAAGAAACGTCATCGAGGATGGTCTCCCGGATCACCAGTCCCTCCTCCTGGCTTAGTCGTGCCTGTTCCTGCAATTCGGCCTCTTCCCAGAGCAGGCAAGAGTCTATGTTTGTTTAGCTAGCACACTGTCCTAATGTAGCTTCTTTGACTCTTATTATGGATTGATTACAGTGGTGTCCTACTTGTCTTTTGAAGAACTTAAGATGACATATACAGTTCTCCCCTAGTTTTCTACTCACAGCAGAAGTTGTGAGTATGTAATAGTAAACAGGCCTTTGGTCAGCCTGGAACTTCAGCCTGGAACTTAGAGTGACATTGACCACTATACCACAGTGATTTGCATCTCATGTAAACTTGGCTCAGAGTGTTATCAAACCATTCTGTTGAAGAAGTAAGTTTCATCAGTTACAAGATCTGTCCATATCTTTTTCACACTGCACAGTTAACAGCATACTGATATTTTGTCATGGTTCCATCCATGGATCCTGGAATTTGTGGTTTTGAAAGACATTTCAAATTCTCTACCAGCTGCCTCTAGTGCAGTAGTTCTCAGCCTGTGGGTGCCCAGGTGTTTTGGCCTACAACTCCCAGAAATCCCAGCCAATTTACCAGCTGTTAGGATTTCTGGGAGTTGAAGGCCAAAACATCTAGGGACCCACAGGTTGAGAACCATTGCTAGTGCATCTACAAAATGCAAATTCCAGGATGCCGTGAAGCCATGACAGTTAAAGTGGTATCAAAGTGCTATAATTGTGTAGTATGAAAGCAACCTAGGTCAGCATCTCCCTTTCTCCACAACATGGAAGATCTTATTCGAAAACATTGTGACAAAGTTCAAACCCTCGTGGTTTCTGTTGGTTTCATAGGCACTATTTTTCACAAAATTCTTCTTTGTTTTTAATTTTGCATATTTATTCAAAAAAATAACCATCTATACATAAACAAATGCAATATTTCCTTACAACTACACAGTCATTGTGTCTGAATATGCAATTCCATTTTCCTACCCATCCCATAGTAGTGACTCCACATCCTTTGGTCATAAACAGGCACTATTTTTAAACTACATGTTCTTCCTCCAACTTTACTGCACTGTGGTGGCTGAGAGATTTCTGGAAATTACAGCCAAAATCCTAATGGATTCCAAGCTATAGTTAAAACATTTGGAAAGTTTAGAATGCAACACATAAAATCTCTTGGAGGATAAAATTACATATAAATATTGACATCTATCTTTTAAGACAGCACACAGGATTTTATTTTATTTTTGTATAAAATATGAGAAAGCATCTTTTGGTTTCCAGGTGTACTTTTTCACTTCAATTGGATTGTTTTGAAGTGTATTCTTAATAGAGAGCAGTTTTCTAGATGAGAAGATATTAAAAATTAAAACAAAAGACGCATTCTTTTTTCTGGTAGATTTGAAATGAGAACATTGTAAAGGTGTATGTATGATGTATGTATTGTAACTCCAGCAATTCTGCAACTATTTCTATATTTTGGGGTTTCATGGATTAAATTTTGAAGTTGGGTGTGTGTGTGTGTGTCAAGAGCAACTTGAGAAACTGCAAGTTGCTTCTGGTGTGAGAGAATTGGCCGTCTGCAAGGACATTGCCCAGGGGATGCCTGGATGTTTTGATATTTTACCATCCTTGTGGGAGGCTTCTCTCATGTCCCCGCATGGTGAGCCGGTGCTGACAGAGGGAGCTCATCCACGCTCTCCCCGGATTCGAACCTGTGACCTGTCAGTCTTCAATCCTTCTGGCACAAGGGTTTAACCCATTGCACCACTGGGGGCTCCTGAGGTCAGGTGTAAGATAAAAATTCTATCTTGCTCTTAGGAAACATTTGGACACCTCTTTACTGCAGAACTACTATTTTTAAATTTACAGTTCTGAATTCAGAACTTTATGAAATTTGAGTGTATTTTCAGCTGAGCTTTGAAACTGCAGCTGTGTCTTCGTCATGCCATGGGTGACAGATTAGTGTGGACTCCCATAGCATTAAAAGTTGGCCCCTGTGAACACCTCTAGCCCAACATCTGGGCTTGTAGTGTGTTACATAACCACCTGTTTCTTTTTTAATTCCTCTTTCCTTCTTGGAACGGCAAACAATAAGAGAAGCTCTTTTAAAAACTTTATGGGGTGACGTTACGGAAGGATTTTTTCTTCTTCTTGAAATCCATTATAGCTTTGAAGGGAAATGCGGATGTGTTTTGAATTTTATTGTGTTTGATTATCAGGAGGGCTGGGTGGAGGTTTCTTTCTCCTTAATTATTCATAAGGCCAAATCACAGTATGAGCCCTTTAGTAATGGGATTTTTTTTCTTTCTCTGTATTTTTTATAGAGCCTCTTTTGTCAGTCCCAGTTCCCCAACCAATGTTAACTGGAATTTTACAGCCTCAGCCCATCCCTGCAGGGGAGACTGTAATAGTTCCTGAAAATCTGCTGAATAACTCAGGAGTCAGACCAGTGATTCTGATAGGTAAGTTCAGGGTGTGAAATAAAATAATCCAGAACTGGGTTATTTGTGTTTTGTTTAGCAAATTCAGGTCCCGAATCCTCCATATTTTAGCCCTTCCTCACATGTTTAAAATGAGTTTGGAACAATGTATTGTCAAAGGTTTTAATGGCCGGAATCACTGGGTTGTTGTAGGTTCCATCAGCTGTTCCTTGAATGGTGACAAGTGACCAGAATACAATCTGAACACAAAACTTGGAAGTATCTTGGAGACATTCTGCACAATATTTTATCACTAGAAATCAATTGCTTGTTACCTGGTTGGATAATAAACAACACTTGCTGAAAATTTATTTTCAGCACAATAATAAAAAGTATAGAACAATTGTCTCTATACTTTTTATTGTTGTGATCTGATCTGATTTCACTCGGGAGGGAGTTCCATAGCAGAGGGGCCACCACTGAGAAGGTCCTGTCTCTTGTCCCCACTAACCACACCTGCAGAGGAGGTGAGACCGAGAGCAGGTCCTCCCCAAAAGATCTTAATTTCCTAGCTGGCTCATAGAAGGAGATACATTCAGACAGGTTAGCTGGACCGAAACCGTTTCTGCAAGCCAAGTTTTTGCTTGTAATTCCACCCACTCCAAAATAATAATATACTAAATGGATAAACAGCCCCGGACCAATTTACCTGTCCGAACGCGTTCCCCCTATGAACCACCACGGAGATTAAGATCCGAGGAGGAGGCCCTGCTCTCCATCTCACCATTGTCACAGACGTGATTGGTGGGGATGAGAGAGAGGGCCTTCTTGGTGATTGCCCCCTGGCTATGAAATCCCCTTTCTGGTTAGATCACATCGGCCCCCTCCCTCCTGTCCTTCAGAAGGATGGTAAAAAATTGTCTGTGGGACCAAGCTTTTGGGACAGTGCAATAAAGCAGCAATAGGAAACCTTACCAGGTCAATTAGATTAGACGCAGTTGATCAAGATGGTTTTAAATAGTGTAATTTAATATTGAGACAAATGTTTTTAATGTTTATATATGCATATAATGAATTCTTGTCCCGGGATTTAATGTTTGCCATATATATGCCGAGTCCCCTTCAGAGTGAGAAGGGCGGAATATAAATGTTTTAAATAATAAATAAATAGTAATTAAATTGTATCTTCAAAAAGATATTTTATTTGCATAAAACATTTAATTTCATGTTATACAATTGTGGTGTTAAGTGTGTAAGCATACCAAGCACATATTGAGAAAGCTAGATATTGAATCTGTTCCAGTGTTACTTTTGTGGGAGTAAGGATCTCAGGCTGCCTTGCAACCTTCTCCTACCAGACCACATCTCTCCATGTTAAAAGATCTAATTTTACATAATATTTTATGTGTCCTTATAGCCTTCATTCTCAGTACTTTAGATTGCAGGTGTGAATTACACTTGAATCATACATCTGGATATAATGTATATCCAATCCCAAAACATTTAAAAATACACAACACCATCGGTTTCTCCTGGTATAAGATCAGAGAACAGTTGTTGCTTATATCTTGCACCGCCTTCAAGGTGATGTCCCTGACTAGTGTTCATTTATTACAAGCAAAAACCTGGCTTGCAGATTCTATTTTTAGTCAGTTCCATTCTTTTCCCTACTTCATGTTTTAAGGCATAAAGTCCAGACCTTTGTCATCCAGTTTTGCAAATACCTTCTAGAAACCAATTAGCTACAAACCTCTGAGATGGCTTGGACTAGTCAAGGTCATGGCTAGTCAATCCCTGGCCTATTATTCCTTCTTCTATTTAGTAAAATAATATTTTGAACACATTTCAGTTACTGCAGAATTGTTTTGTATTAGCTTGATTTGAGTTTGTCTTTTTTTTTAAAGGTTATGGCACTTTACCCTATTTCTATGGGAATGTTGGAGACATTGTAGTAAGTCCCTTGCTCGTGAACTGCTACAAGATTCCTCAGATGGAAAGCAAAGATTTGGATCTCTTTGGATTGGCCGGGAGCCAGTTGCTAACTGTGGAGAACATGATTATTTTAACAATACAGTATCTTGTCCGGCTAGGTAAGATGTGGCACATGCATTGATTTTTAAAATATATAAATAGTGTTTCCTTGTTGTTCTTTTTTTTAAGGCAATAAACCAATAATTCCCTTTTCATTACTAGATGCTTGTGAGGGTAAATTTGAGAACAATTTTGGTTTTGGTAGAAGCTGATAACTTTGGTATTGGGGGGAAAGACATTCGTATCCTGACATGCAAACTGCACCTTAGGCCCCTTCTACACTGCCATATAATCCAGATTATTAAAGTAGATGATGCACATTGCTTTTAACTGGATTATATGAGTCTATGCTGCCAGTTCAAAGGAGATAATCTGGATTTTATATGGCAGTGCTTTTATGATGTTTATGTTGATTGTTAATTGCTTTTGTGTTGTTATCATTAAACTTTTTGTATTTTGTGTTTGCACCTTTGAATGCTTTGTGAGCCACCTTGAGTCCCTCTGGGAGATGGTGGTGGGGTATAAATAAACAATTATTATTATTATTATTATTATTATTATTATTATTATTACATCAAAAGGAATAAATACAGTTTTGTAAGGTAGCAGGTATATTTATCTGCTACCTTATAATACAAAAAACTAGTGATATCTTAATTATATGATCTTCTTATTATCTTCAAGGAAGTAAAGTCATTTGTCATATAGAATTGGTTGTAGATTGTAGGTGAAGGTTACTAAAATGTATTATTCCTGGACAATTCTTATCTCCCATTCTAGTACCTTCTAAAAGAGAGGTGTGTATGCGAGAGTTTTTCTGATAAGAATCACATCCTGAGATAGTTTTCCTCTTATGGGGTTTCATATGCTTATCTCGAAAAATGCTGCTTCCTTGCTCAAAATTGCATCTCCAAAGATTTTATGTCATCCAGGAATGAAGAAACATATTTCAGAACATGGTTCCATGCATTTTCTGTGTTGTGTGTATTTTCCAATTGAGCACTTCTGTTCACTAATGATCTATAGCTTTCTATTAGTTGCTTCAAATGACTGTGGATGTCTCTGTCTGTTATTCCAGTTGCATTGCCAACTCATTGGGTATTCTCAAAATCTGACAGCAAGCGTCATCCTTGGTCTTATTTAGGTACTTTCTGTTCCTCTGTCCCACGCTTCTTGGTTGCAATCAATATGTAGCACAGACGCTTTCTGTGGATTGATAATAAGTCCTTTTGCAGACTCTAATCTGCTTTGTGTGTGAACCTTACAATTATCTCCTGTTTCAGTTATGTCGGCGGAATAAAATGGGGAAAAATGTTTTTTGGCATTACAGACAAAATAATATTTTGTTTTAGTAAGAGCTTTCAGGTCCCTGCATAAAAGCTGTCTTCATACAAACATGACATGATTCGTTCAGTTAAGAGCATTTTGGTCTTTTTCTTATTAGTGGGACAGAGTTAAAGCTCATGCTTCGGTTTCTCAAAACACCATGTAGTGGTCCCATCAAGTTCTATGCAAAGGATGGAATAGTCTTTGTCAACCTTTTGAATTCTTACTCCAGTGATACTCTTAATCTCTTGTGGCTCTTATTTTTCCTGTAACTTGAGTTACAGGAAAGTAAATACTTGCTGTGATATTCTGGGTAAGCAATAGAGAACTGTCAGAATTGGTCATTCCTTACAGTGAATAATACTGTTCAGTTTGTCTAAAAATAATTGAAATGTTACGCAATTCTATTACATTCTGCCATACAACTGTTTAGCGAGAAGGAAAAAATAATACAGAAAAACCCAAGGCAAAATCCGTATTCGGTCATATCTCACAAACACAGCTGAAAGCATGGCCATGTGTATAGATATCATGTGTACCTGGAGGCTGTAATGGATCCTTCCCAACTCCACGGCCACCACATCTGTTGAATTAGAATAATGGCAATGGCTGTCATCTACAACATCTGCAGAGCACCCATTTGATGGAGGCTGTGCAATGCTTGTGATGTTTCTTAAACCTTCAGGACCTCATCACACAAAGGGGGGAGTGGGAAGTAGCGTCATCTTCCTATCATGTTCTGTGACATTCCAACTTGGAAGAAAATAGAGAATTTGCTCACCCTAACCACACAGGATGCACTTCCGCTATTTCTAGTTAAACCATGGACTTCATTCCTCATCACACAGGATACTGTTGTCTCCTTCCATTCCATCATCCACAAATGTGCACATCACAGGATTTTTTCCATTCATTAAAAATTGTGTAATAGCCACAGAGCTTTCAAAACAGGAAATTATCAATAAGACCGAAATCAGTGCTTCAAAATTGTGCTTACAACATTTAAAAAAAAAGGGGGGGGGGAATAGAATTATTTGCCAGTTCATTTCTGTGTCCAAGAAGTAATGGTGGAGGAAGAAACATTGAGGGGCATAAAATGACTGCTCCCATGTATCCCCACTGTGAAACTACAAAACAAACTGAAATTGGGCAAATACACAATTTCTCATCCTACACACACACACACACAAAGCATTTTCTAACAGTTTCTACACACGAGGAAATGAGTGGCGGCAATTTAAACCCATTTTTCAAACCCATAACAACAACAACAAAACTTTATTTATATACCACTCTATCTCCCTGAGGGGACTCAGAACAGTTTCCAAGTAACATCATCAATACATACAGAGTAATCAACATAAACAACATAAACATAAAATTAACAAAGCAATATAAGCATAAAAAATAAGCATATTATATTTAAAATAATACTGCCTATTTAAGGTAATTTCTAGAGGGCCCGGGAAATTAGGTGCAGTGCTATAGCAGGCAACAACAATATCAGGTATAGTCTATGGCTGTTCATTTCTGAGGCCTAATAGGAGAAAGTGACCTGGATAAGTGGTAGAAAAAGATATGGCCAAATTCAGCAATATGAGATATACTAGTCATTCTCAAAGGCTTGTTTAAACCACCAGGTCTTCAAGCTCTTACGAAAGGAGGGGAGGGATGGGGCCTGTCTTATTTCTCTAGGAAGGGCATTCCACAGGTGGGGGGCCACCACAGAGAAGGCCCTCTCTCTCGTCCCCACCAACCGTGCTTGTGAAAGGAGGGCCTCCCTGGAAGATCTTAAAGTTCGCGCTGGTTCATAGAGGGAGATGTGATCACTCGTTTCTATATGCTGCAGAGACAGAATCTTACAAGCAACCAATGGGATCTGTGCAATTTCGTATTTGAAGCATGTAGAAAAGGAGAACACCTTCTGTGTGATGAGGACCTAAGTAAATCTTTCCTTGGAGCTGCAGATTTGCTACAGAAAACACACATTGCTTTCTGACATATTTTTCTTTCACGTTGATGTGTATGTGTATGTTGTTTCCAATATTGGGTTCCATATTAAGAGAAATCTAAGATATAAAATAAGTAGGTAGGTAGGTATCAAGCCTGTAGCCAGGATTTTGATTGGGGGGGGGGCTGAGTTTGATGGGGGGCGGCTGAGTCTGAGTGAAAGAGGGTCTACCCTAGCAAACCTTTTGTATCATTACCCCAATACCCCCATGCATAAGGGATATATTGAGCATTGTGATCAGAGAATGATATGAATAAACATAACAGTTTAAATAATGTATCAGTAAGGCCTTCTCGCAAACCACCATGAGAATTTCGGGGAGGGGGGGGGCTGAAGCTTCTCAAGCCCCCCCCCCCCCCCCCCCCCGGCTACATGCCTGGTAGGTATAGTTCATATGGATAAGAAAATAGATTTCTATTGTTGCTGCTGCCATCACATCCTCCTCCCTTCTCCATTGTTATCAGTATATCACAATGTATTGTGACTAGTCCAGTTTCCTATTTCAGTTTCCTGCCTGTGCTTTTAGCCAATGGTACAATTGCCAGTTTCTTATTTGATTTCTCTCCACTTTGTTTGGAAAAGTAGTCTGTTGTACAATTGTTAGAAGTGAGTGGTTCCAGACACCCACCAAGCAGTCCTTCACTCAGTCATCAGATAGCCATGCAATCCAAATTCTTGCATGCCACTTGCAGAGTGAGAGCACAATGCAAAAAGTACTTGCAGAAAAGGAGAAAAGGCTCCAGGTGCAATGAACTGGAGAGTCTTCCTGTGACAAAGATTTTCTGAGTTCTGCAGTTTGACAACATTCTTGCCTGGTAATAGAATGAATCATCCTGATGGAAGAAGCCTTTGATTCTGTGTTTTGATTCTTTCTTTAACAAATATTTCAGGTCCCGATAAGATACCTCTCAGGGAAGAATTTGAACAGATCATGCTGAAAGCGATGCAGGAATTTACTTTAAGAGAGCAGTCCTTACAAATGAATGCTCAGTGCTTCTCCTTGTCACCAACTCAGCTCCCATGGCTTGCCAGGTTAATTGCCAGCGTCTCTCAAGACATGGTGCATGTGGTGGTCTCCCAAAATTCCCTGGCTGAAGGCATCTCAGAAACACTGAGATCACTGAGTGAAATGAAGTGCCAGCAAAGATTGCCAGATTATGTGGTTGCAATCTGCACCTCAAAGATCCGGGGGAATGAATTCTGCGTAGTAGTTTTAGGTGAGTATCTTCTTTCCATAGAATGGTAAGAACTTAGTACGGGTAATTCAATTTATCTTGTATTCAGTTGTGAAAAGGGGTACTAAAATTTGATGTTTCAGACCATTTCTTGGAGAACATTCATGGTATTAGTAGTTATTGACAAAGTTATGAGGCATATTAGTTATTGGTACTTTCCCTTGCCAATAGCAGGGCTCTTGCCAGTATTTTCATCTACCCCAGAATGAACATGCAACAGTACTACACAATTAAAGCACTTTTAATTGCCTTGCCTTCTGGGATTTGTAAAATATTTAGACTTTTCACCAGACAATTCTAGTTCAGAAGAATTAAGAGTTTCTAACCAAACTACAAATCCTAGGATTCATAAATGTAGCCATAGCAGTTAAAGTAGTATTAAAGGGCTGTGATTGTGTAGTGTAAAGTAAAACAATGCCACTTCAAGGCATAGAGCTGTGTATTGTTGGTATGATAGCCATCCATTGGTCACCACCATTCATTGGTAACTCACGCAAGCTTCTTTTCTCTTTGAATACCTCTGAACATTGCTGTTCCTGGGCTTTCAGAAACTTGGTGCAGTTTGGTGAAGAACCTTTCATCAATAATGTTATCCCAAGGAAGCAATTGGATGACAACTGACAGACAGCTTTATATTATACAGTATTGACTCCCGTATCTGCAGGGGATACATTCAGTAACTTCACTTGGGTATGCAAAACCATGGGTAGTAACCCGATTGACCAAATTACTTCTGGAACAGTTGTTCTCGAGGACCTAGGGAGTAGCTAGAGTGTACACTTCTCCAGGCATTGCTAAGCCCTCCAGCATAATTCTGCGATCCATATCCAGTGGAAGCACACCATAGAATGATCAGGAGGACCTAGAAAATGCCTATCAATGACATATTTTGTCAAACATGGGTAAGTAAAATAGAGGGTCATCCTGTGATTTCTCATTTGAGGACTAAGGAACTTCCTTAGAGCTGACATTTAGAAAACTCTATGTCCAGTTGCATTTTTTTTTAAAAAAAATGGTTGCCTGTAACAGAGCACTTCAAAATTGCCTAACTCTTTGTGAGCAAAAATAAATTTGAATTGTTGTCAGTTATATTGAAAAGTTGATGAAAGCCAGATGTTTTTGTTTCCCTTTAACCTGGATAGGAAGTGAACCCAAAGTTGTTGTAAGATTTTGATCCATCCCTGACATAGATTAAAGTTATTTCTGTATGCATCTACACTATTTCTGTGTAATATGAAATTCAGAAAGCAAGGTCTGCCATAGGTTTCGTATATGGAAAAATCCAATTGAGAGATTAATTTGTTGCCACTGAACAAAGTTTAAATGTGGAGTACTTTATTAGGGACAGCTATTGTTTCAAGCTAATTTGCGTTCATCCCTTCGGACCAAATTTTTCCTTTACATGACACCTTTTATCCAGAAGAGCATTTCCAGGCCAACCTGACCATGGATAACAGCAGGCAAATAATGCTAAATAGATGTGGAAATGCACTCTTATATTTCTCTTTCTAGTCCAAATGAAATGGTAAGACTTGCTCATGGAATAAATAGTTAATTCGTGTTAACATCGTGAGTCATTATCCATTGGAACATACAGTGCTGTCTTTACAAACATTCAGACTCTCCCACATAGTATTAAAAGAACTATAAAAGCAAAACTGAAAACAGAAAACAACTCATTTTTAATCATCTACTATTCTTCTGATGTAGGTTGGGTTTAAAAGAACACACAATTTACAGGTCAAGTCTACATCTATGCATTCAAAGATATCCTCAATTGAACTCACTAGGATTACAAAGCCTAGATACTGGATTGTAGTCTGAGGCCCATTCCACACAGATGAATAAAATCCCACATTTTCTGCTTTGATCTGGAATATATGGCAGTGTGGACTGAGATAACTCGATTCAAAGCAGACATAGTTGGATTTTCAGCCTTGATATTCTGGGTTATATGGCTGTGTGGAAGGGCCCTTAGGGTCACACAATGCTTTTAACACTTTAAGCTGAATTCCACAAATATAGCCAATATGGTAATATACCATTTCCAGTGTAAGTGAAAGAGAACAAAACAAAGAAAGTCAGGAAATTAAGAATAATTTTACAGTTGAAATCTTACATGGCAATGCATACAATAAGACTCACATATCCATGGGAAATATGTTCCCACCCAGATTGCAGTTACGTGAAACCACAGATTCATCGAACACCATTATATTACTTCCAATTCCAGCATGCCATAGAGTTGCATTGAAGGACTTAGAGATTCCTAGAGAGGTATCTTCTCTAGCAATTTACTAGATCCTCCAGTGCAATTCTGTGGTAACTTCCAGGGGAAGCATATGATTAAATCATCTAGAGAACCTATCAAATTCCTAGAGAAAAAAGGAATTTCTAAAATTTTCTGTTCCAGAACATTAGCTGTTAATAGATCAGGTGAATACAGTTTACATACAACATTGCTACCTCCTGCATAGGAAAAAGGGTGTACAACTCTACCATTGGGATTTTAAAATTTCTTGGATATGTAGAAATTATGGATAAACAAATAAGCACATTTTTGAGGCTAGCCTAACATGGAGTTTATCGCATTTGATGAAGTTGGTATTCTAGTGTTTAGACTAAAACTTGCATTTCTTATAACTATTTGCAAATGTGAACCAATACAGTCATATGTACTTTAACGGTATAGTTTAATGCTGTGAATGTAAAACTCCATTCGTTTTGTCTAGGTCGTTAAGAAGATGGGGTTGGCAAAGTTCTTGTAATATAGTATCTTGTGGTTTCTTCATCCCCTTTCTGTTTTCTAGGTCAACATCAGTCAAGAGCTTTGGCAGAGAGCATGCTTACTACCAGTGAGTTTTTAAAGGAGATCAGTTATGAGCTCATTACTGGAAAAGTTAGTTTTCTGGCATCACATTTCAAAAATACATCTTTAGGTAAGTGAATGTAAGCCCCCGCTGCTACTGCTCTCTTTGGTTTACTAATCTGACCATTTCCACACAGTAAAAAATGAACCAAGTTGGTTGTTTCCCAACTGAATGTAAGTCTATTTGAAACTATTCCCCGGGGGGGGGGGGGGGGGGAGAAGCTACAAAAATATGATATAAAAATGTAACATAATTTTGAGACAACACAAAACTGGCTAAAATGTACTACATGGCTATTGAAAGAATGAACATGGTGGGCCAAAATAAGAGTGTGTTGTGAGGGCTGCTCCTCCTTTTTTTAATGAATGAATGCATTTATTTACTTTCACCCTTTCTACCCCGTCCTTTTCAACCCCCAAAGGGGGACTCAGGGTGGCTTACAATTGCATCAATTCGATGCCAACAACATACAACACATTACAACAACATTATACAAGAGAAAAAGCATTACCTTAAAATACATTGGAGTAAAATACGTTAAAACATTATTATTCATCATATAGCCGAGTCCAAATCTAATTTAGCAACCGACGACTCAGTCCAAGCCTGTCATTGTCAGAGTTCAAGCATTGTGAGTACTGCCAAACCTACTGACCAAAAGGCCTGGTCCCAAAACCATGTTTTGAGCTTCTTTCTAAAAGACAGGAGGGATGAAGGAGGGATGAACATTCCACAGCCACCACTGAGAAAGCCCTGTCACTTGTCCCTGCCAATTGCGCTTGCGAAGAGGGTAGGACTGAGAGCAGGGCCTCCCCGGACAATCTTAAATTCTGAGGCGGGATGTAAAGGGAGATGCATTTGGACAGGTAAACTGGGCGGGATCCGTATAGGGCTTTATAGGCCAAGACCAGTACTTTGAATTGTGCTTGGAAGTGGACTGGCAGCCAGTGGAGCTGACATGACAAAGGGGTGGTATGTTCCCTCTATGTCACTCCAGTTAGTAATCTGTTCGTTAGTCCCTAGACTTAGAAATAATTATGATGTTGAAGTGGTGATGTTTTGTTTTATTCCATTTCTATTCCACATTTTTACGCAGAAGTTCCTAAGGCCATTTGAATAAGTTTTAAAGTGGATCATATGAAAGAGTTAATAAAGTAGCTAAACAATGTAAGAACAAACTTCCATGCAATTCCCAAGTGGAATAATAATAGTAACAACAACAACCACAACTTGTTTCCCATCTCTCCTCACTGCTAGAGGCAGGGTCCAAACACAGTTCAAACACAGTTCAAACACAATAACACTAAAATACATATATTAAAATATGTAGAACAAAGATTAATACACAATACTAACAAAATGTACATTTGAAATTCATAATTTAAAATAGACTAGGTAAAATTGACTAGCCAGAATAGATCTTCAATTTTGTCGTAAAATTTCAACTGCTCATTTAGCTGTCAGATCTCTTGTGGCAGGTTGTTCCAAGGTCTAGGGATGGCTGATGAAAAGGTTTTCTAAGGGACAATCACCAATAGGATTCTAGCTGGTAAAATGAAGTAATGTCTCCCAAAGGATGTAAGTGTACAGGGTGAATTACATGGGAGAAGGCTCAAACCATGTAGGGCTTCAAAACCAACATTTTGTGTTTTGCCTGGAAACTAATTGGCAATCAGTGGAGTGATTTTAATATAGGTGTAATATATTCACACCTAAATGTTCCTGTGACAAATATGTGAAATGATAAAACATTTTATTTTTCTGTAAAATAAGATTGCCCAGGTGTCACTCTCAACCAGATTAGTTTCTACATGATTAGACACAAGTTCAAGTTCTGGGAAGTGACACAAGAGAAAGTCAATTGAGGTCAATATCAAATTGTCATAAGTCAAAGGTCAACCAAAGCCAAAGGGAAATTATGAAACATGAATACCCAAGCAAAATGGAATAGCCTTGTGGAAAGCTTCTTCTGAGGAACTGTAGAAGTATGGCCAAATGCAGCTTCAGGAACATGAAAACTTAGACTTCCTCTCCTGTGTATTGAACTTGGCTTTCAGTGAATTACACTAGTCAAAGAAGCCTAGCAGCTAATAACTATGATATAACAAGATACACCTTGGTTCCATTGGCATTTCTAGACTGGAGAAGTGCCAACAAGATGAACCTCTGGAACAAACTTGACTTGAAACTTATCTGGAATCCACAGCTTGGATTATTTATTTATTTATTTGCAGTATTTGTATTCCACCCTTCTCACCCCGCAGGGGACTCAGGACAGATTACAATGCACATATACATGTCAAACATTCAATGCCATTTAGGCATACAACATATATAGACAATGTAACATTTCAGCTTTTCCGGCTTCATGAGGATATGCTCGGTTCCAGCCACAGAGGGAGCTGCGGCTTCACTGTCCACTTATGACACCAGGTCCTTTGATGGAGTACTTCCTCATTCTTTTGCATGCTGCTGGAAGGTTTTATGGTGTCGTAAATTAGTTAAATTAGCCTCCCTGCATAAATTTCCTACTTGGCAAATGCAACTGTCTTTCAGGCTGCATAGTGTAGGTCAACAGCAAGCTAGTCTATTGATGATTGGGAGCTTACTCCGACCTGGGCTTCGAACTCATGACCTCTCAGTTAGTAGTGATTTAATGCACCACAGCCCGGTCCACCTACAAGAACCCCTATGATCTCACTGATTGTAGATAGCAGAGCTTTCCTTTGATGCTCTTGGCCTGGTGCTTCAGAACTCAGCCAGCTTCTTCAAGTACCAGCTGATAATTCACTCTTTCCCCACATAGGTGTTGCCAGATATCTTCAAAGCTGCAATCATGTAACCCAGTTAATCTTTGGAAGCACTAGTCAAAAACATCTGAATCAAATTTAGGAAAAAATTAGTAACCAATCCAAATTATTCAGAACCACTATGAGATTCTAACTAACTCAGATGGATTAAAAGTCTCTGTGTTGGGGAGTGGCAATCTTTAGGAAGATAAGTTCATCAGAGTTTAGTGAGGCAGCATACCAAGAGCAAGAAATAGAGAGAACACGGAAAAGAACTTATAATGACAGTATGAACATTTATACCTGCTGAGGTAGGGTTAGGTGATTTTTCATGTAGAACAAACTGAAATTCTTCCTAGGTAGGCAGAGAGTCCATCCATCCACAATAAGACTTCAATGCCTTCTTCTAATCCCCAGTAATCATTAACTTAATTTTGCCTTGAGTGATCTTCATCAGTGATTCCAAAAGGTTGGTTTCAGAGAAGTGACTGATACACACAGGTCTGATGAAAAGTAAAAACCAAGTTGGGTGACATCGCCAGCCTTGTGAGATGCCATATCTCTGAACAATATCAAACCACAGTTGTTGATGTTTAAAAACCCGAGTTATAACATTGAATGTTGAGGCAATACATAGGTTCACTGGTAGTCGTGATGGAGACAATATTCCCAGCACCACTTACAGAATTTTCCCTCCAAGGAAATGGAAAACCACTACAAGACATCACCACCACCCCTACTTTGCTTAACTATTTATGACTCTCATTTTCTAGTCCCTGGTAATAACAAAAACGTGTGTGGACTTCAGCAGTTGATTTTAATGTTCATGTTAAATGGATGTTAAGCATATCACATCTTCTTTTGCACTACTGCTTTTGATTTTTTTTTTAAAGAGAAATATTATATGACCTGTTTGGATACATGTTTGTTCTAATCCTTTGCTAGGTGATGAATTGGATAAGTTGCTAGAAACAATGCAGCAAAGACGAGGAGATAATGTTGTAATTCCATTCAATGGAGATATTAATGAATGTGTATCATCTCAAGAAGCAGCTGCCATGGTTTGCACCCAAGAACTAGGTAAGGGTTGCCTCTCAAGAAATGAAACACTACAAGTGAAAATCACACTTTAAATCTACATCTTGTTGTTGTTCATTCATTCAGTCGTCTCCGACTCTTCGTGACCTCATGGACCAGTCCACGCCAGAGCCCCCTGTCGGCCGTCACCACCCCCAGCTCCTTCAAGGTCAGTCCAGTCACTTCAAGGATGCCATCCATCCATCTTGCCCTTGGTCGGCCCCTCTTCCTTTTGCCTTCCACTTTCCCAGCATAATTGTCTTCTCTAGGCTTTGCTGTCTCCTCATGATGTGGCCAAAGTACTTCAACTTTGTCTCTAGTATCCTTCCCTCCAATGAGCAGTCGGACTTTATTTCCTGGAGGATGGACTGGTTGGATCTTCTCGCAGTCCAAGGCACTCTCAGAACTTTCCTCCAACACCACATGGACTGGAATGGGCCACTCCACATCAGATGACCACCGGACAAGAGGAACATAGAAGAAATGGAGTAGCCTTCATAATTAATAAGAAATTCGCTAAAGCAGTGCTTGGATACAACCCAAAAAATGACAGAATGATCTCAATTCGAGTGCAAGGAAAGCCTTTCAACATCACAGTGATCCAAATATACGCCCCAACCACAGCTGCTGAAGAAGCAGAAGTAGATCAATTCTATGAGGATCTTCAGGACCTACTGGATAATACACCAAATTTACATCTACTAATCAGTTAATATAAGGTAGCAGTGGACAGTGTGTGGCCCTCTAAATGGTGTTACATTCTGCACATACCCAATCCAAGGGTATGGATTTTTACTTGCTGCAATACCCAATCTATAGAAATCTTGGTATACATCCATGCAACCATCCGATATTGCTGTTGAGTAACTGTTTTTTTTCCTACCACCCCAGACAATTAAGCTCAGAAAACCTAGAAGGAAAATGCTACAATTGTAGAAACTATTGCTAAAATTTGTCTAGTCTCAACCATGCAAGAGAAGTATTATTAGGATTTCTGCAGCTGACAAACTTGATGTCTTTTCTTGTTCAGGTTGGAGGAATGTGCCCATAGTCGGCTTGCTATGGATTTAAATGTTAAACTTTTAGATTTCATTTATATTTTCATGTCTGCTGCAAATCTGCAAAATATCTTACACTGAAAAATAAACACATTTCACAGCTTGACTCTTTATTCTCAATGATAGATGGATCTGATCTCTCTCAGTACCTGTATACCCAAATCAATCTGACATACACACATTGTAACAATGGACTAGTTATCCTATGTGGAATGAATTTGGGTGAGCCAATCTAAGTGGTGTCAGGAACGCAAAAATGCTTTTACTTTCACATTTGTAGTAGTTCTGTGCTAACGACTAGAAAAACAACAAAAATTGTATGCACAGTTTGGGGTTTCTTCTATGTCTTCCCCTTAGAGTTTCCCTTGGAGCCCAGAGATTTTTAGATCTTGGACATCCTCTCTTGGCATCATTCACACAGCTTCTGAGCACATGCTGAGGCGATGATAGCCATTTCTAAACTTCTGAGGTTATTAGGCATCTCTGGAACTAGAATTTCAATTATGGCTCTTCTTTCTCATAGATTTGGACACTGAAACCTTCCAAATTTATCAACCACAGCTCACAATTGCCAGAAAACTTTTGTCGCAGGTATGTGCCATAGCAGACAGTGGTAACCAAAGTCTGGATCTGGGTCACTTCAGCAAAGTAGATTTCATCATTGTGGTCCCTCGTTCAGAAGTGCTGGTCCAGCAAACCATTCAACGGATTCGACAATCAGGTAAAAAAAGTAGTCAGGTTTAGAGCTTCGGATGTAATTTTTTAAAATGTAGAACAAAATTGGTCTTATGTCATAGTTTTACAAAGTAGTTTGCTAGGAGTTTTTTGGTATTTGAACAGTATATCACCATCATCCTTGTCATTATCATCATCATTGTTAATATAATGATAATAAAATAATAAATTAGGAGATTTATTTATTTATTTCTGATATTTTTACCCCGCTCTTGTCAACCCCCTGGGGGGACTCAGAATGGCTGAAATGATTTCCTCAAAACAGTACTTTTTTAGAAAAATAAGTAAATGGTACTTATTATTCTGAAAAGATAAACAGTTGTTACATCATTTCACAAAATAAATGTCATTATGTCTTTGTCATTTCTCAAAATAATGTGTTTACATGCAGCAAAGTTGCTTGCAATGTGTTACTTCCAGATCCTTTTCTAGCCTAATTTTGATAACATTCAGGACTAGACACACAGGAGATCTGTACAAGCAAAAGCACATCAATCTCAAGTCTTTAATGTAGTATGACATGATGTGTGTGTATGTATATGTACACACAGAAGAAAAGAAAATAGAAATATTTTTTCCAGTCAGTTTGCTATTTTAGCTGACATTTGGATATGTTATGAGTTCACACCCAGCATTGATCAATTCTGGTTTCAGTATATATTGTTTTTAGATATAGTTATATTTTCCTAATTTGGAGCAGAAAGCAAGTTTTCATTCCCCATTTCTTCTTTCAGGTGTTCTTGTAGACTTGGGCCTTGAAGAAAATGGAGCAGCTTACCAAAGAGCTGAAAAATATGTGGTGCGGCTAGACAATGAAATTCAAACCAAGTTTGATGTTTTTATGAAGCGGGTGAAGCAGAATCCATACACTCTTTTTGTGCTGGTACATGACAATGCCCATGTAGATATGACGAGGTAAGTCCTTCAAAATAAAACTGTTTTTATACCGATTATAGGACAAATGATGAGGATTAGCTCCAAAGGATGTTTCCACAGCTTTTCATATACCGTGTTGTATGGCAAGGAATGGAACACATTTTTGGAATTTGTTTTCAAGATACAGCAAGAATTCTTGGATCCAGGAGGGGCAAATCATAGTCTGGTGCCCTTTCTATATGTTCACATTTGTCACTGTCAAGTTTAGAAAGAGCTACAGCTCCCCCCCCCCCTTTTTTAAAAAAAAATCCTGACATTATGGACATACTGTATATAATATGCATGGATATAGTTTGATCGAGGGGAACTGGGGGCAGGGGGCTTTAAGCATTATCTCTTGATCGTTTGTGGACCAAGTGATGCATATAATTTTAATCCTTTTTGAAATCTACAAGTTGTGATACAGAATGTTCAAATTGTATGCTTTATCCCTCTTTCCTAGTGCTATTTCAAGCTCTCTATCCCATGGAGAGCCTAGCTATGGTCTTGCAGATAGAGTGATAAACTGCAGAGAGGTTCTTGAAGCTTTCAATCTCCTTGTCCTTCAAGTGAGTTCTTTCCCGTATGGTCTTCAAACAATGCAGTCCAGAATAAGCTCTGCCAATGAGGTACACTGGATACAATTTGGCAACATGGTAAGAGTCTACATTTTGTAAGCGCAATACAGTTTTTAGGAAGTGTTTTGTAAATGCACTGCAGTTTGTATAATCTATCTTAGGCTTTTCTGGACAAGAATAACCTGGTCAGAGGAGTGCACTCTGTGCAAAGCTTCCCTTGACTACAACTGAGAAGCTAGGCTGCTGACTGGAACATCATGCAGAAGCTTGATGCCACTGGTTTTAATAGAATTTCATGAATTACATTGTGCTTCTAATCTGAATTCAAGATGCTGGTGATGAACAGTTAAAGCCCTAAATGTTCTGAGACATCAATACTTGAAGACTGTCTCTCCCTATAGACTCCTGCTCAAGGATTGAAGTCTGCCAGTGTGTCCTTCCTCATGGTTGCACAAGTTTTCTGTATGAGTACACAGGAGACGACCTTCTGTTCTGGAATGTTTTCTCTTTGGAGGTTTGAGTAGCATCAATGCTGGCTTCATTATGGCCCAAGGTTAAAACATGGCTTTGTAAATGTGGTCCTTGGAGTCTAGTAATTTGGTCCAAACTTGTACTAATACTTCTTTCCAAACTGTTTTAATTAATTTACACATTAAGTTGTTTAAAACACTTTTAGACTGCTTGAGTTATCCCAAACCATATAATTTTTTAACTTTTAAAATGTTGTAAACTGATTTTATTTGTTTACCAACCTGAGATCTGATAAAGGACAGACTATTTTTGAAAAGACTCTCTCTGGTTGCTAAGTACCTTTTCACACATGGCGAGGGCTTCTACAAAGTGCATTAGCAGAACTGTGGACTGCTAGGTGTTTAAGCCCTTAGTTATGAGAGACGTATTAAAGATAGATCCTAGAGCAGTTCTCAACCTGTGGGTCCCCAAGTGTTTTGGCCTACAACTCCCAGAAATCCCAGCCAGTTTACCAGTCGTTGGGATTTCTGGAAGTTGAAGGCCAAAACATCTGGGAACCCAAAAGTTGGAAACCACTGCCCTATAACTTTGATTTGAGCCTGGAAGACAACAGTGAAGTTTTTCTCAAAGCAGATGGTAGCATGTGTTTACCTCTCAATATTTATTTGTTTATTTATTTTGGCAACCTGTATGTTGGACTTATTGGTATTCCTGAAGTATCATAAAAAGGCAGTCTATTCAGAGCTCATTAAAGTAATATGCTACACATCTAACAAGGTGATGACAAGTGGCATCACATTTTAATTCATGTGGACTGCTCTATGCGCCACTATTTTGTGATCATTGAGGTATTTCTTTAAAAAGTTCATTCAGCAATAGACTCTGAAAGCAGTGAAATTGTGAGTTTCATTAACCATATGAATTTATATGTTAAATATGATAGAAACAGGCCTGTATAAGATTATATGACTGGTGTTGTTTATTTGCATGGGAGAAGGGAGGAATGTGCTAATGTTTTGGATATTAAACAGGGATAAACCATTTATAAGAATTGCTTTGTTTGCAATATTTCCATTTCGAACAGGAGGAACTAAGTCAAGATGAGAAGCTATATTTTGGCTTGAATGAATACAGCAAGTCTCTCCAATGGGGAATCACAAGCCCTCTTCTGAGATGTGATGAAACCTTTGAAAAAATGGTGAATACACTCTTAGAGAGGTAAATCCTTTAGGATATTGTCAAGATTTCTGGACAAAGTGGTTCGATATAGTAGATTCTTGACTAAACAAACCAAGCTAGACCTGAGGGCTGCAGTTTTTCATGGTGACAGCTTTTTTAGTCATCACAGATTTAGTCTTTACATCATGAGAATAGGATGCATGCAGTCAGCCATCTCTCTGAAACACAGTGTAATGACAACATGCCAGCTTCCTTCCCTACTGACAGATCCATATTTCATGTTCTCCCTTAATTTGACAGCTACATCTCCTTTATAGAGGAAAGGCCTTACTTCATAGCTTCAGTAACTATGTAAGGAAAAGGTTGTTATTCAGCCTTCAAGTGCCTCGTTCTCTCTTCCATTCTGTATTTATCCTGGGATGGTACCTGCCTGGCTTAGGTTGCAGTCCTATACTGAATCCAGGAAGACCAGTTTGAATCAACATGGATTGTATAGCGGGATTACAATTATAGGTTGAACATCCCTTTTCCAGAATCCAGAAATCCAATATACCACAAAATCTGGAATTGTCCACATGGGTGGCTGAAATAAAGACATCTTTGCTTTCTGATAGTCTAGACATCTTTGATTTCTGTTGTGCATGAAACTTTGTTTCACACACAACATTATTTAAAATATTGTATAAAATTGACATCTAAGTTATATGTGAAACATACAAGAATTTTGTGTTTAGACGTGTGTCTTATCTCCAAGGGGAGTCCCCGGTGGCGCAGTGGGTTAAAGCCCTGAGCTGCTGAGCTTGTTGACCGAAAGGTCACAGGTTCAATTCCGGGGAGCGGCGTGAGCTTCCGCTGTCAGCCCTAGCTTCTGCCAACCTAGCAGTTTGAAAACATGCAAATGTGAGTAGATCAATATGCACCGCTCTGGTGGGAAGGTAACGGTGCTCCATGCAGTCATGCCAGCACATGACCTTGGAGGTGTCTATGGACAACGCCGGCTCTATGGCTTAGAAATGGAGATGAGCACCACACTCCAGAGTCAGACATGACTGGAATTAATGTCAAGGTACAACGTTTACCTTTTTTTACCTTATCTCCAAGACATCTCATTATACATGTATATATATAAATACATGTATTCCAGAATAAAAAAAAAATCTAAATCCAAACACTTCTGCTCCCAAGCATTTCAGATAAGCAGTACTCAACATGTACTTGGATTAATTTCTGTCCTTTTCATCCATACAGGCTGAGATGGTTTGTTTAAAACACAAGCATTGTTAGGAATTTCTAAATGATGTATAGCATAAATCCCTATTTCTTCTCTTTGCTACCTGGGGTTTAGATCTCATTTCAGGCCACCATGTTTTATCCTGACTAAAACAGAACTACTTTCCTTCCAAAGGTACCCCAGGCTGCACAGCATGGTGATCCGCTGCTACCTGCTCATTCAGCAGTATTTGGAAGCTCTGATGGCTCTCACCACCATGGCCTCACTCAGGGACCACAGCACACCGGAGATCCTCAGCATCATGGATGACATCATCAGCACCCCAGGCAAGGACAAGAATGGCCGTGGCCACATGCTGCTCATTCGGATTCCCTCTGTGCAACTAGCAATGCTGGCAAAAGAGCGGCTGCAAGAAGCACGGGATAAACTTGGCCTGCAGTACCGTTTTGAGATCATCTTGGGGAGCCCGGCCTCAGAGCTTACTATTGCCAAGCACTTTGTGAAGAGATTAAAGGTTCGTTTAAATCCAAAGCAAGCAAATACATGGTCATTTTGGAGTGGTATCTTAAGGCTCTACATGAAAAAAGTGTAATATAGATATGTAGACAATAGAGGTGTGCTTTTTTTTATTCCTTGTAAGTTGTATCAAATGTGTTAAATTTGTACTTACAAGGCAATATCTGATATGTTGGAATCGAAACTTATCCCAAACTTTTTCATTTTGGTTTTGTAAATCATGTAAGTCTCCCAAAGTTAGTGTCCTATTCAGTGCAAGGAATCAAAGCTGAAAAGGCTGCCTTAGCGCCTTGCCTTTCCTCTGTAAATTAATGGAGTGTTGCCATTAGGAGTGGGGAAAAGAGGGAGCAGTGTTTGCTGGGAACAGCACAGAACTCCGGGAAATGTAGTTTGGAAAGGGAAGAGCTCTATGCCAGAGAATTCAAAAGGCCCTGCCCTAAACTACACTTCCCAGAATTCAGTGCACTGCTTAGCATCAGAGAGATTTGCCCCTTCATAGCCAGCCAGAGTTGCAATAAATTTAATATTCTACACTGGGTTAATATTCCTGGGTTATAAATGTCATTTCCTAATTGGTTCTATCATAAAAACACGGTGAAAGTTTAATAAAGTGCAAAAACTTTGTCTTTGCGTGAGGGACATCATGTTATAGCACATTTTGCTGTAGTATACGATTTAATCCACTAACTTAACATCGACATTCACCCATTTAAGAAAGTTTTTGATGCAAAAACAAAGTAAGGACTACACAATTAAACAGGAAATAATACTTTCAAGCTAGGGACTTACTTTTATTTATTATTAAAAAATTGTTTATAGAAGCTTTGAAAAGTCCCCAAAAATCCGTGGATAAGTGAAACATTCTAAAATTTGGTGGGCCAAAAGTGGTAAATGTATCCTACCATTGTAGCATGTTTCACCCCAATAGCTGTAAAGAAATCAGGGAGAAAGATAGTTTTCCCCATTATAGTAATTATGCACAATTACTATTACGAAATAGTAACGAAATTTCATTACTCTTTTTATACTAACAATTTTTCATTAACTATACTTTAGAAACACTTTAGAAATGAAACACCAGCAACCCCCCCCCTCCCCACCCAAAGTTTTGTAATGACTTTTGAACCATTTTTATGGCTCACACATCCCTAGTAGACAAGTTATGTTGAACTGGACATTACTAATGCAAACATTGGCATTTCAGTTTCTATGTTTTACAGCATCGTGACTGAAAAACATTTTTAAGTAAGTGCTTTTCGGGAGATCTGTGCCAGGGACCAGCACAATATATGATTGCTTCTTTCCTTTCTGCAAACTGCCAGGGAATGGCATCAGATAGCTCATGAACTGGCACTGTTTGGAGAGCATTGCCCTGTTGTTTGAGAAATAATGTAAAATACTCATTGGCCCAATGGCTTTGTAATAGTCTGTATGCAAAGGAGCAAAAAGAAAAAAACAATGCAGGTGACACTGAGACTTGAGTGATTGATATTGCAATGTTAGTGGGTATATGATAATAGCAAAATGTCTAAGAATTTGCAGACTGTTACAGCTTCTGGAAGCAATACATATGAGCAAGCCAAAGTGCACTATAGACAAATAATATGAGGCAGGAAGGGATATGTAATGGAGATATGATGGACAAACCAATATATTTTTTCACATAGCCAAGGATCCCACCTTGCAGAATTATAGCCACCCATTGTCCAGCTAAACCACTATTTTCTTAATGGGAATAAGGTGTTAACTAGTTTGAATTGGTGGAATTAACTGTTGCAGTAGAAGCTTTTTGCTAAATGACTAATGAGAGCATAAAATCAAGTTCTTGGTACAATATGACACTTGCAGTTTAGAATGAATAGCAACATGAGAAAAGTCATTAAAATTAAACAGGATGCCGAGGAACAAATCCTGTATTTCCAAACCATGGTGGAGACAGTCTTCTAAAGGAAGAAGTTTATGACAAGGGTGGCAAAGTGTGGCTCATGGTGCTCCGGAGGAAACAAATCATGTTGCTCCAGAATGCCATTTGGCATCACATTTTTGGAGGTCAAAATACATTTTGTGGAATTTTTCAAAAATCCTTTTGTCCCCAAATGCCCTCTTGTCCATTTTTCTCAAACTGTGGGTCCCAACCCCAAATAGGTTAGCTCAATGGTGGGCTCCCAAAAATTGCAACAGTAAAGGTGTTCTAAATGTCACCTATAGGCTGTTTTAGACATTTACACGAAACTGTTGTGTCGTGTTTACAGTGGAATCTGCAGAAAATGCTTCAGCTGTACTTCATAAAAAGGGAATCAGTCTCTTTAGCAAGGCTTGTAAATATTGATTTGTTATCAGTAAATGTTTAATTGATTTATACCTATTTTATGTACCTTTCTACTCAGGGTCCTGCAAAAGTTCTCAGGCTGAAAGGAGTCATAAATGGAAAAGTTTTAAAAGCCCTGCTCTCATGGACATGGGAACACTTCCATCATATTTTTGGATGGTCTGGGTTAATAGAGTCCCCAAAGACCTCTTTTTTTCAAAAAGGAAATGAACAAAGTTATTTCTTCTCAATTCCTTTTTAAAATGTTCCTCTTGATCCCAAATTATTCATATTGCCCCAGGAACATGGTGAAAATGCCTTAAGTTCCCTACAGGGAGTGAAGTACGCTAAAAGCTGTGTTTCTCCCCCAGGGATGGATGCCCACTCAAGGTCTTCTTGGGACCAGTGTGCCCCCTTACACTTCCACAGTCACCCACTTAGTTTGTTACAACTCTCATTCCATGTTCACGGGATGAAGAAGCTTTAATTTGTAAAACTAAAATCACACATGTGCCCTTGTTGTTCACTTCCTGCATCTGAACACAGCCTGTGGGCACAGACTATGATAAGATAGTAATTTCATATTTGGCAGACGTCTGTGTAAGTGGCATAATCCAAATTGTATTGCTTTCATTTCCAGCTGAGGTGCCAGGCTGACTAACAGAAGAAAGTAGATTTTGAATAGAAAAAAACAACCTTTATTGCAAGGCTTGAGAAAGGGATTAGTCATTGGCCTCTTTGCGGTAGAAGCTTCTTAAAACGCAGAACACAATAGTGACTCATTGATCTGCTGTTAGGTGTTCCATTTCTGACCTGTTCTTTTACCTCAAAAGAAATGACTCATGCGTCACAAGATTTTGTGAGAAAGAAAGAAATTATCAGAGAGAGAAGATCAGGTAGCTAGGACAGGAAATTGTCACTGCATGTTTATGTGCAAATGTATTTTGGAGAGCAGTGTTACACCCACTATTATCTAAAAAATACGTTTGCTTCATTCTTTTTTTTGACAGGTCTGTGACTGGGTGTTTTACTTTGTTTGTTATTACATGCTGCTTTTACTTTTAAGTATATATTCTTCTTTTAATTCAAATTGTGGTAAGGTAGCATTTAGATGTTCAATTATGCGTTACAGCAGGAGTGGGCATCTGTGCCAAATATGGGGCCAATATTCTGCTCTAACACCATCCAAGTACTATCCAGACTGGCCAAAATGGGGACATGAAGCAGATTTTTTTGTTAATGGTAAGGTGAGGAGATGAGCATACAATCTAGTGTATTTGAAAGGTCAGCTGCTTCTATTGGGATCATAGAATCATAGAGTTGGAAGAGACCTCGTGGGCCATCCAGACCAACCTCCTGCCAAGAAGCAGGAATATTGCATTTAAAGCACCCCTGACAGATGGCCATCCAGTTTGAAGCCATTGATCTCTCTACTCCATATAGTTATATAGTGTTCCCTCGCTACTTCGTGGTTCACTTTTAGCAGACTCGCTGTTTCGCGGGTTTTGAAAATATTAATAAAAATATATTTACATCCAGTGGAGGCCAGGGATCCTAGAAGTGAGGCAGCCTGAGGTGCGGCAGGGAAGGCCTGCCTCCCTGGCCTCCACAGACCCCGGAAGTGCGGTGGCCAGAGGTGTGGTGGGGAAGGCCTGCCTCCCTGGCCTCCACAGACCCCAGAAGTGCGGTGGCCAGAGGTGTGGCGGGGAAGGCCTGCCTCCCTGGCCTGCTGCTGCCTGCGTGGCTCCGGAGGCTCTGCCGGGGTCTGCAGAGACTAGGGAGACAGGCAGGTTCCTTAGGGATGGGCTGGGAGGCGGGTAAGGAAGCGTAGGTAAGAAAATAATATATAAAATAATGTATAAATATTAAAATTAATATGGCATCCCTCCTTCGTGGATATTCACTTATTGCGGGTGGTCCTGGAACGGAACCCCCACAATAAGTGAGTGGTTTCCTATGACATCCTGTGTGATGTGGAAGAGTCTCAGATAGTTCTTTAAAAAGCAATTCATCATTTTCACTAAGAAAAGCAGATGCCCCCAGTGGCACAATGGGTTAAAACCTTGTGCCAGCAGGACTGTTGACTAGAAGCGGTGGTTCGAATCCATGGAGTGGGGTGAGCTCCTGTCTGTCGGCTCCAGCTTCTCATGTGAGGACATGCGAGAAGCCTCCCACAGGATGGTAAAACATCTAGGCGTCCCCCGGACAACGTCCTTGCAGACGGCCAATTCTTTCACACCAGAAGTAACTTACAGTTTCTCAAGTCGCTCCTGAAACAAAACCAAAAAAACTCAGAAAAGGTGTCTGAAGGATTTGAGGTGGTAACAGTAAACGCGGGACTCCATTGGTACACTTTGGCTCATTCAAGCTTGTCTTGAGTGATCCAACCTTCAAATTACGTGGAGATTATTCTTTTCTTCTTTATTCCATACAACATACATAGCCACAGGTTGCAAGATTCTGGAAGCTATAGTCCAAAAGAGGACTATATGTGTCTTTTATCACATACAGACATTCAAAAGGGGGACCATCAGCGAATACTTTTAGGTTTCACCTGCAAGAACCCCTAGGAAGAGAGGCACTTAACACTGAAAAGCATTTTGGATTTTTCTGTATGGCTAACAAAAGTGCCTTTGTATATATTTTTTACTCAAGCAGAAACATATATATGAGTAGATGCAAGTCTCTGCTTTTAATGAGTCTTCCTCCCTATTAAGTATATTTATGGCTGATGCCTGAAAAATATCACCACCTGTGTTCTGCTCGTTCCAGGAAACAATTTAACTTTCAGCATGAAGGATGTATGCAAAATAAAACTGAAGGAAGTGTTCTGCTTTTCTTGATATTCTTTCTCACAGGCATGGAGAGGAAATGAACAGGATGATTGGTTTCCTCACACATACCAGGATTTAGAAGGTCTGCCTTGTATTGTTGTTTTAACTGGCAAAGATCCACTAGGAGAAACATTCCCCAGGTATGACCCGAGTGAATCCACAGTTCAAGTCTTACGATAGAAACCTCTTAAAATATCTGTATTATTTTAAGCTTTTTATTTTGAGCAACAGTCTATTAATTTTGGGTGCACCTTCCTTTATAGATTTTGCCCTCTGCTGAAAAAGGAAACACATAAATGTTGTTTTTCAAAATGTTGTTGGTTGAATGGACAATTTATTCAGCTGCAGAGGTTTTATAGGCAGCCCTACAGCAGAATATTGGGGTGGTCAGTGCAACCGCGCTTATAAAAATATAAACTCATTTCAGTAGCAAAACCACACTATAAAAATGCAACATTACGCTTCAGTAGAAAGATTGAATCAACATACAAAGGTACTATATATTAAAACCTGGCCAATAGGAACTCCTATCACACTACACTGTATTTCTGCTATTACTCCACTTTAACTACCATGGCAACCTTCTTTTGAATTTGTGAGTTTTTAGTTTAATAAGACCCAAGAGGACTCTGGCTGAGAATTTATTACTTATTTGTAGACACAAACTGTCTCACAGTATCATCCAACAATCTTCCAATTTAACGTGGTAATTTTTCAGATTAATGTTAGGTAATCCATTCTGCCAACCTAGCAGTTCAAAAACATGCAAATGTGAGTAGATAAATAGGTACCACTTCTGTGGGAAGATAACGGTGCTCCATGCAGTCATGCTGGCCACACGGCCTTGGAGGTGTCTATGGACAACGCCAGCGCTTCAGCATAGAAATGGAGATGAGCATCAACCCCCAGAGTTGGACACGACTAGAGGGGAAATCTTTACCTTTACTAATCCATTCTTGCTGCCATTTTAGTTCACATGTCTTTTTTAACCTGCACAGTTTCCTGATGCATTGTAATGTGTACATATATGGGTTTAAATTATCATCATCACCATCATCATTTTTATCCTGCCTTTCTTCCCATAGGGACACAAGGCTGTTAACAATGACATGACACAATACAATAAGATTTAAATCAAAGTGAATATATACATAAGAGTATGAAAATAAAATAAATTGTGTAATGAGTGTAAATGTTGAAATATAATAAAAAAATCATTTAAATACTAGACATTCCTGGAAAGGTGTTCTCTCCGATTTTAAAAAAGGAGAGTCTACTGTACAAAATTCCAGACCTATTGTGATGGTATCAATACATTTTGCTTATAACCAAAACACATATGTCCCAGAGCACATGTAACCTTTAAGAAAAAGACATGAGTAAGCAAACCGTTGAAACAAAGTATAAAATTTGGGAAATTGAATAATTGTGTTCTTCAGTTCCACCCTTGAACTAAGATTTGATAATGTGGAATGCAAATTCCAGGGGGGAAATTGAAGGGAGAACCTATGGAATAAGACTTGCCAGTAAACTTGAGAAGTCTCTAGTTGCCTTTCTATAATAATAACTTTTAATAATAATAACTTTATTTGCACCCTGCCTCCATCTCCCCAAGGGGACTTGAGGTGGCTAACATGGGGCCAAGCCCAAACAATTACAATAAAACAAACAAAAATAAATACAAGACACATGGCAATATCATGTAAAATTCTTATACAATAACATAATAAAACAATAAGATAATAACAATAACATAATAAAACAGGGTATAAAAACAATACAAGAGTTTAGACAAGGTTGAGCTAGGCCAAGTGAGGAGTGAAATGGGTGAGGTAGATAAATAAAGTGCTGTATATCGAGAGAGATTCAGGTGGGATAAACAATGAGGTTATTCTCAACTGAGGGATGAGATAAAGTGCATCAGAAAACCAATTGACACTGAGACAGGACCTGACATGGAAACTACATTCTTCATTCTTCAAAAGCACACCAGAATAGCCAAGTTTTAAAACTTTTTCTAAAGGCTGCTAATCCAAGTTTCCTTCTCTTGTGCAGGTAAACTGATCCTTACTGTTCCACACTTTTATGGAGAACAGATAATTGAATGCATGCCCCTCACATCCTTGTCTATTGATTTTCCAGGTCCTTGAAATATTGTGATCTCCGTCTGATTGATTCAAGCTATTTAACTCGCACTGCCTTAGAACAAGAAGTGGGCCTGGCATGCTGTTATGTCTCAAAGGAAGCAATCCGAGGGCCGATTGTGGCCCTTGACCTTAGTGAAAAGGAGCAGGAGAAGGCCAGTGTTGGTGAGAATGATGCCGACGAGCTGTTGATTGACTTGGAGAGGCCCCAGAGTAACAGCAGTGCTGTGACTGGGACTTCAGGTTGGTTGCTCGCTTTACCATTTCCTTCTGCTTTTGATAAGGAATACTCTTTGTCTTAGGCACTGAACTTTCAGAGGAGGCTGAGCTACCAGCTTTTAAACTACTTGTACAATGTGGTGCAAAGTGGAAATCAGATATACCATCTTGCATCTTTCTTATTCCCATATTTCATGAATCTTTTAGACACAAGATGGATGTGGAGGTGGCGAAAGGGAAGGTGAAGGCAAGGGGAAAGGAGGGGTTGATAGGAATGAGACTTTAAAATTATCTAGGCTGTTGATTTCATAATTAGTCAGAAACTGAAATGGAAAAAATAGAAAGCTAGAGACTTACAAATGGGTATTATGGTGGTTTAAACATAGTACATTCTTTGCCTGGTCAGGAATAGTTTTGTATGAGTAACAGATATATTATTAGGACATCTGCTTCTTGTTTCAGAGATCTAGAATTGGAATAGTTAGCCTTGAATGTAGGTGGAAAGATTAAGTGTCCTTCTAATTTGGTATTATGAAAAATGCAATACCATCTATTTTTAAACCTAATTTTTCATTCTTGTTTCCCCTGGGGTGGTTTAGACTACAGTTGCCATTTCTGTAGGCATCTATCTGTTCATCTCAGAAAGCTGTTGCCATAGTTGTAGTCTGAGTAATAAAGTGAAGCCTGGTAGCATGCCCACTGTGTTAGTCTTTCATTGATTTCAGAGTGGGAATACTTGAACAAGAGTGGGGTAAAAACTAGGACCAAAGAGACCCAGGTTCATTTCCTTAATCATTCATGAGACAGATTGGATGGCTTTATGTCAGTCATAAGGTTTCAGTCTAATATTGCAGTCAAAATGGGGGTGGGATGGGGGATGTACAATGCCCTGAAGTCATTGAAGCTAAAAAAAAATAAATAAAGTGGTATACTGATAAGTAAACAAGAAGAAAGTGAAATGGTTTGGTCATTTTCATTCCATGGTAGATTTGGCAAGTTATTTTGTAAAATACTTTAATACACTTTATTTATATTCCGCTCTATCTCCCCGGAGGGACTCAAAGCAGAATACATACAAGGCAAACATTCAATATCTTTTTATACAACAACCTACAATACACAGACAGAGGTAAAAGTGTTGTCCCCCCCTTATAATTTCCAGCGTCTGGAGGAGATGCTCAACTTCTGACCATGGGGAGGTGCTGCTGTCCCATTTTCCATGCCTAGGAGCCTTTTATCCATAGATATCTCTAATTTGTTACTGGCATGTTTTGCATATCTGCACGGGATGGCTTTTATCTTCCCACCGAGGCAGTATCTATTTATTCACATTGCATACTTTTGAACTGCTAGGTTGGCAGAAGCTAGGGCTTGACAGTCGGGAGCTTTTCCCCTACTCATGGCTTTGAACTGCCAACCCTTCAGTCAACAGCTTTCCTGCAGCTATTAGTTTAAACCGCTGTGCTACAGAGGCCATCATCCCCCCCCACTGGTCCTTGGGGTTCATTGCTTTCTGTGGAGAATTCCTGTCCTTGTAAAGAGCTGCCTCAACATTTCTGAGGTGTTTTTATTCTTGTCATAATCTTACATAGGAGAAGATTATGACAAGAATAAGTATGTCTCAATTTTATAAAAGTGCAATAAATCTTGATAACTGGAAGGTTGATAGTTTGGAGCCCGGGTCAGGGTGAGCGCCTGACCTTTGCCCAGCTTCTGCCAACCTAGCAGTTTGAAAACAAATGTGAATAGATAAATAGGAACCGCATTAAAGCAGGGAGGTATTTTAAGTGTGTGTTTTGATTAGAAAAAAGGAGGAAGTTTATGAACAAAGAAAAACTCATTGGCAAGGAGATGGAGCAACATCACCCCTTTCTGGCTGGAGCCAAGCACAGTCTCCAAAGATACTAAAAGATGGGAAAGCCTAGATAGATAGATAGATAGATAGATAGATAGATAGATAGATAGATAGATAGATAGATAGATAGATAGATAGACAGACAGACAGACACACACACACACACACATACACACCCCTCTATCTGTCATCTGTCTTGTTATTGTATCATTGGCATTGAATGTTTGCCATATATGTGCTCTGTGATCCACCTTGAGTTCCCTTTAGAAGGGCAGAATATAAATACTGTAAATAAATAAATAAAAATTAAGTGATAGCACCTGAGGAAAGAAAAGACTGGATGCTCCATTTATCTACTATTTATTGTTTTCTTCCTGTTTGCCATTGTTCAGGTTTTTGGCATCTTCATCTGTTTGTCATTAAACATTGTCTGGCTTTGTGCTTACCCACCAGCCTTTTCATTTCCTGGGCATTAGGACAGTTCAGGGTCTTATAGCATGAACTGAATAGCATTATTTGTAGTATTCTGTTATAAACATTCTACACTGGAAACTAATATTCTGTACTGTAATTTATTAAGATGTTGGCCAGCTTTTCATCTATTACTATTTCATTTCAGGTTCTATAGCAGAAAATGGTGTGAGCTCCTCCAGTGCCACAGACAAATCTCAGAAGCCCCCATCATCTCTAAATTTCCAGAACGTGGCCAATAGCTCAATCGATGAAGGCTTTGCTGCTGGGGAGACTTTGAAACAAGAATGTGACTCTCTAGGCAACCAGATAGCCAGCAGTACCACTTCTAAATTGTCAGCGGCATCCTCTTCGATCAGTCAGACTTTCCGGTGGCCCAGTCAGTCTGTGAAGGAACGCAACGCCTTGCGTGTGGCCTTACCCCGGATTGTGATCTTGTCTAAAGCTGCCTACTGCCTTCTGGGCTCACAGAAAAGTGGGCACCTGCCTTTCTCTTCCTCCCTCTTGCCTCATGCCGACGTGTCTTGGGTTAGCTCTTTGAGGCCTTTGCTACACAAGGATATGAGCAGTGAAGAGCAGTCGCTGTACTACAGGCAGTGGACTGCAGCTCGGCAACACCATGCAGACTACAGCAATCACAATGAAACCACTGGCAGCCGGAGCTTTCACCCACGGCGGCTCCTCCTGACTGGACCTCCACAGGTAAAAGAAAATAGCAGCTTGGCACCGCTAGATAACAACATTAAATAATACAGGCCTGAGTTTGAGATATAAAATATCATTTTAAAATGTTGTTAGCCACATTTTACTCTAAGGACGGAAGTATTTTCTTCCATACATTCATATCCCCGTTTGCATATTTTTTAAATTAATAGGGGGGGAAAAATCAAAACTGCAAGTAGATTACATAGTGCACTATTTCATGATTTTCTATGCCAGCATTTCTCAACCTGGTGGTTGGGACCCCAGGGGATCATGAGGGGGTGTCAGAGGGATAGCCAAAGACCACCAGAAAACACATTCTTTTCTGTTGGTCATGGGGGTTCTGTGTGGGAAGTTTGGCCCAATTCTATCGTCAGTGGGGTTCGGAATTCTCTTTGATTGTAGGTGAACTATAAATCCCAGCAACTATAATGTCAATGCCCATCAAACCCAGTATTTTCTGTTTGTCATGGGAGTTCTGTGTGCCAAGTTTGGTTCAATTCCATTGTTGGCGGCGTTCAGAGTACTCTTTCATTGTAGGTTAACTATAAATCCAGGCAACTACAACCCCCAAATGACAAAATCATCCCCCCCAACTCCACCAGCATTCAAATTTGGGTGTATTGGGTATTTGTGCCAAATTTTGTCTAGTAAATTAAAAAAACATCCTACATATCAGATATTTACGTTACGATTCATAACAGTAGCAAAATCACAGTTATGAAGTAGCAATGAAAATAATTTTATGTTTGGGGGTCACCACAACATGAGGAACTGTATTAAGGGGTTGCGGCATTAGGAAGGTTGAGAACCACTGCTCTATGCCATTATAGTATGACTCCCAAATCTATGGAGAATATGTCCCCGGACTTTGTAAAGATAAGCAATACTGCATATATTTGTGAACCTTATTGAAATGAAGGATTTCTAGCCCATTGAGTCTCAATAGAGAACCAAGAAAATACCTGGAGAGGAAAAAAAATGTCAGACATGGATAAATGTCTCACAGGGTGGATGGTGGGTTTCATACTGTACTCTGGCTCTGTTGCCCACTGTAAACCAATGCATAGGGAAGCCCTGTGATCAGTGGTACAGAGCAGGTGTAAGGTACCTGCATGTGTTCCAGATGTTGACGCCCAATTGTCTAGCACATGGTCAGTAGCTCTGTTTTCAAATAATTAAAGATTATATCTTATTATTTGCTGTCATAGCATGATTGGTTCTAAATATGTTTCCAGTCTAATCCTTTCCTTTGATCTCACTGAGCTGTCTGTTGGGTTTAGGTTGCAGCTGAAATCCATGTGTAGGTGGAAAAGTCCTTGGTAATTAAGGCGGACATTAGTGCCAATGTCAAACAGAACTATCAAAGAATATGTGATATCAGTAATATGGGATATACATTTCTGCTGAGTAACTACAATAACTGAAAGTAGCTTTTTACAGTCATATATTTGCATCATATATCATAACGCCAGTTACCCTGCATGTAGGAAGTTAGATATAATACTGTAAGATTTCTTTTCCTGTAAATAAGTGCATGTAGGAGACTTTGTGATGTCTTCATCTTATTTGCAATATTGTATGCATGTTTGTAAACATATAAGCAGAAACTATCAAAAGTAAGTATGTGGTTTAAAAATAGGGATAAAAATCTTGAACCTATATTTGATCTCTGAACCATGTTTCGGAAGAGCCTTCTTCCATTTGCAGGTTTTGCCTCAATTTTAGCTACTGTGCCTATTCAAAACTATTAAACTGTCTCTTTGCTCCGTTCTTTAACTAATTCAAGAAATATTGCCTTCAAGTTTTCTCTTGATATTAAAAGTTCCTGGTAAACTATCTGTTGTTTGCTTTGAACTGGTCATGGCTGCTAAATTCTCAATTATAAAATAAACCCTCAGTTAGTGCATAGGTACCAGTCTCTAAATTATAGCTTTACATGGGAAAGTATGACTCCACTCAGAGGGAGTGGAGTCATATATACTCATGCATAAGTCAACCTGTCAAAGGTGGGTTTGAGGGTCATTATATATTTTGATATGGCTCATGGATAAATCAAGGATCATTCCACAGAGAGGGAAGCACCCATCTCATAAAGTCAGCTACGTTTTCCCTACATTCAAAAAGGCCAGAAGTGTGCCAGAGCAGAGAGTGCTAATGTTTCTTTTAGGATCCCCATCACTGACTAAACCAACGATTCCCAACCTGTGGCCCCTGGACCATCATTGGTCCATAAGATCTAAAATATGGTCTCATAGTTACTACACTGTTGCAACAAGAGTGATTGGTCTCGTGAAATAGTGCTGAGGCATAGAGGATGTTGGGAGGGGAGAGGCTGATTACCCATGAAAGGCATAACAACAAGCCTCCTGATGGCTGCTTCTCATCCGCCCGCCCTCCCTCTGAGTGGAGTCATTCCATGTGGTGCCTGTAAGCGGGGGCACCTTGGTGTCTTTAATTTAGGCCTGTTCCTGGGGTTATTTGGGTGCTGATTCAGAAAATTGCATTGGATAGATTAAATCAGCTCTGGATTATTAAATATGGTTTTCTGTGAGCAAGCAGATGGCAACTATTGGATGATTGTAGCACAGCTGGTTAATTATCAGCGGCCATAGATCACTGCCGACCGGAAGGTGGCAAGTTCGAAGCCCGAGTTGGATTGAGCACCCAACTGTTAAGCCTAGCTTACTGTCCACCTAAGCAGTTCGAAAAGAGCTTTGCTGTGTGTAGAGAAATTAGGGACTGCTTAAAGCGGGGAGGTATTTTATGACACCATAAAAAATGCCCGCGATCAAAGAACGAGGAGGAAATATGATCAAAATGACTTGGCGTCATAGTGGATGAAGTGACAGCATCCCAGTTTGGCTGGAACTGAACATAACCTCCAGGTACTGAAGTTGGAAATGCCAAAATACCTCTATCTGGTCGTCTGTCTTGTATATCTAAAAATGACATTGAATGTTTGCCTTGTATGTGTGCATTGTGATCCACCTTGAGTCCCCTTTGGAGTGAGAAGGGTGGGATATAAATACTATAAATAAATAAATAAATAATGACATATGTTCTGTATCAGAAACTAGAGCTGATGTGAATAATCCAATGCAATTTTCTGAATCAGCATCACAAATAACCAAACCTAATCTAAAGTTGACCAAAAACCGATTTGTAACCCTTTTGGTACTAATGTTGGAGAGTGGTCCCTGGTCAAAGTGGTCCCTGGTTAAAAAAAAAGGGTTGGGAACCACTGGACTAAACTCTTGTTTGTTGCCACTCTACTCAGCAAGGGAATGGTTCCTTTTTATATAAAAGTTAAAGGACAGTACTCACAGCAGCCTTTAGGTAAATCAAACCAAGTTTTGGGGGTTGGTTTTTTAAAAACTAAAATCTCTAGACTTATACATCAGTATATCAGGTTAATCACTGCCCCAAGTCTCTTCTCGAGTTCTTAGCTAGGGGAAGAAATCGGTATTTTTCATGAGGCCCTTCACCATATATATTAACAGTTGTGGGGAGAGGAAACTGTAAATTGTTTGCATTGTTGAACATTGTTAAACAAATGACGATTATGGGGGAATAAGAGGGCATGCTCATCAGGTTTGCAGATGCCATCAAACATCTCTTAAGATGTAATTGTAATTCAAACTTCCAGTTACAGACTATAACTAGGCCAATGCTAACAAAATAAATTCCAGTGAGGTGTATAGTTCTAGGCAAGAAATAACAAATACACAAATATAGCAGTGCAGTGTCTACATCAGTGGTATTCAACCTTTGGCTCCCCAGTTATTTTGGACTTCAGCTCCCAGAAATCGTAGCCATCTTACCAGCTGTTAAGAATTGTGGGTTCTGAAGTCCAAAACACCTGGAGGACCAGAGATTGAGAACCACTGGTCTACATCAAGGAAAGTAATAGTACCACATAGTTCTGCTTTGGTCAGACTTCCCATGAAGTAATGTATCAAACTCTGAGCAACATCGTTTCAAAGAAAATCCGGAAAAGGAAATGGAAGGTGGCCAAGCTAGCAGAAAGCTAGCAGAGTGGTTCTCAACCTGTGAGGCCCCAGATGTTTTGGACTTCGACTCGCAGAAATCCTAACAGCTAGTAAACTGGCTGGGTTTTCTGGGAGTTGTAGGCCAAAACATCTGGGAACTCACAGGTTGAGAACCATTGGCCTAGAGGAACAGTTGGAAAGTAGTTATTTTTAGCCTAGAGGGGAGAAGATTGAGACATGGTCATAGCACCTAAAATATTGCTTAAAAGGAGTTTTTGACTAAATTTTTGGAAGAATGTCATCACAGTGTTCAAGAGCAGAATAGGATCTATCAAGTTGGCAACATCTGAATCTTTCCATGTTGGGAAGAATCTCAGCTATCAAAATGTCCATACTACTGAAACTCCTTTTCCTATTTCAAGTCATTCCAATAATTAGAAATCAACAAGTAATCAAAAATTGGAACAAAGAGATCTCTAAATTTGTGTGGCGTGGGAAAAAACCCAGAATAAAACATACAAGCCTGATTGAAAACAAGGAACAAGGGGGACTGGGTCTCCCCGACCTGCAAACCTACCACGATGCTTGTGGCTTGATCTGGGTGAAGGAATGGGTGAATATTAATAAGCCAAAAGGTCTAGCACTGGAAGGGCACGACCTACGTAGCGGTTGGCATGCGTACCTATGGTACAACAAGAAAAAGATAGAAAAAAACTTCGGTAACCACTTCGTTAGGTCGTCGCTTTTAAAAATATGGGAAAAGTACAACAACAAATTTCACCAAAGGACACCCCTATGGATCTCCCCATTGGAGGCAACCCAAAGAAGAGAGCTAGGATGGGAAAAATGGCCCAGATATAAAGACATCTTAAAGAAAGACAGAAATGGATTCAAGCTCAAAACACTGGAAGAAATAAAAAGCACATATGGCGAAGTCACATGGTTTCAATACAGGCAATTAACAGAAGCATACAACAAAGACAAAAAAAGACGGATTTGATGACAGAGAGAAACAATGGGAAAGAATTATGGCAACAGAGAAAAAAGGAATCACAAAACTCTATAAAACTCTATTAAGGTGGAAAACGGGGAAAAAACAGCATAGAGAGTTACATCGCAAAGTGGACGGGTAACCTGGGACATACCATTGATACAGCAGAATGGGAAAAGGTTTGGAAAACAAAACTGAAATGGACTAATTCCTACAGCCTAAGGGAGAACTGGATAAAGATGCTGTTCCAATGGTACCTAACACCAAATAAATTAGCGAAGTATTACAAAAACGTGGACGATAAATGTTGGAAGTGTAAGGAGAAGAAGGGTACCTTCCTACATCTTTGGTGGACGTGCAAGAAGGTTAAAAAGTTTTGGATGAAAATACATCAAACAACAACTAATATATTGGACCTACAAATAGAAAAGAAAGCAGAATACTATTTATTAGGAATTATGGACTTTGAGATAGACAAAAATAAAGACAAGCTCTTATTCCACATGGCCACTGCAGCAAGACTAGTTCTAACAAAAAAATGGAAAAACGAGGAAATACCAAAGCTAGATGATTGGAAACTAAAGCTCATGGACATAATGAATATGGACACATTGACGCAACATATCAGAACAAAACAAACTGCAAGAGAAAACAAAACCGACTGGTCTCCAATCAGAAATTATTTAGAAGGGAATTAAGATAGCAAAAGGAAGTTCAGCGAGATAAATAACAGAAAATCAGAAGACAAACAAAGAAGAAAACATCTGCACCAACTAACCATGGGGGTTACAATGAGTAAATAAAAAGAGCTAATAGATACTAACACACTCCACGCCCCACATCCCACACCACGTGCACTCCCCCCCCTTCTATCCCTCCCTTCCTTCCCCGAGAGTTAAGGACAGCCCTATCCCTTCCAATCCCCTCTACCTCTACCCCTTCCCCAGAAGATAGCCCCCCCCTTTTCCTCTCTCCCTCCCCCACCTTTCCCCCCCTCCCCTAGATTTTAAGATATAATGGATATGTCAATGATTAACATCTGATTGATGTACCAATACCAAAACCCCAATAAAAATTATTAAAAAAAAAAAAGAGCAGAATAGGCTGCCTTGGAATATGATAGATGGCACTTTACTGAATATTTTAACCAGACATACAATGCTTATCTGGTTCTTTCAGTCTGAATTTCATAATTGACATGGAATTGGATTAGATAACCCTAATGGGAACTATACAGTTCTAATATTTGTAGAAAGATGCAATTTATATGTTCTGAAATGTTATTTCTCTTGGGGTTTGATTTAGGTTGGGAAAACTGGCTCTTATTTACAGTTCCTACGAATTCTCTTTCGCATGCTAATAAGATTGCTGGAAGTGGATGTATATGATGAGGAAGAAATTAATATCAGTAAGTATCAGGAGTTCATAGAAATTTCTGAGGGTTAGTTCTCTCACATGAGGAAAAAACTTCCAAAGAACTCTTGGAAGAGGGAGGGCAGTTTAATCCTTTGATATAAATATGTCCATATACATGGATTTTAAATTCACGCATACTGTACAGATGTCCAATATACAGGGATGTTACATCAAGTTCTCCTTGATCACCATTGAATGCAGTGAATTATAGTAATTCCAATAATTTCCTTTTTTGGTAATTTGGAGCCCTTGGGGTGTTATGTTATAGAAAGAACGAATGAAATACCAATCCTCCCAGTGCCCAAAACCAGATATCCACTCTCCTGCATACAAGATGTCTTTTATAGGATACCAGGCTGCAGTTGACACTCATGATCTACAAAAAGCTTCAGAAGTCCATTTTCCAGTATTAGTCAGTCAGATGCCTTTATAAGCTCACAAGATTATGAGGGTGACATCTATTTTGATGTTAATTCAACATTTACTAATAGCATACTATCTTTCACTGAATTCTGAAATTCTTTTCTTGGATCTTATGGTTACTTCTGAAAGGCAGACCATTGTCTATTTTTGTAACCTGTTTTTAAACCTGTCTAGGATTGACATAACTATGTCTTCTAGCAATGACGTGTAAAATATAGATGCATTTTCCCCTTTATTATGAACCTTTATACTGGCATTTAATCTATATATTTTACTTTTGAGGCAATTTAGAAGACAAAGATGTTGCCCAGTCGAACAATGATCAATGGCCTGATGTTGAAATAATCAGTAAAATGACTTTTGACCTCAGTGTGCATGATCCTAAATATATACTTATGAGTCCAGTATACACAGAACAGGTGCAAAAAGTAAAACAAGGTAAGTGAAAACTGATTTTGCTGTTCCTACTTTCTGGCCTTTCAAATACCTCTGAAAGCAATAGAATTACTCATTTCTTGAACATATCTTCCCTATGAACTGGCACGGACTCTAAGATCTGCCAGGAGAGGCCCTTCTCTCACTCCCACCATCATCACAAACATGGTTGGTGGGGACAAGAGAGAGGGCCTTCTCGGTGGTGGCCTCCAGCTCTGGAACTCCCTCCCCAGGGAGATTAAATTTGACCCCACTCTGTCCACCTTCTGTAAAGATTTGAAAACCTGGATGTTCCAGTGTGCCTTTGAATGATGGTTTAAGTCCCCAATCAGGTCTGTCCAGCCTGAATTTATTTATTTGGTTTTTCAGCACCTTACTCCCAGCCCCGGCCCTATCGTCTGTGTGTGGCCCTACCCTCTCGAAACTGTTCATGCCCACCATTTCCTGGTTACTGGTTGTTTGATGTCATTTGATATATTTTATGATGTTTTTATTGTTCTGGTTTTAATTGTTTCAGTTATACTGTTTATATGTCATTAGGTTCTTAATTGTATTTTAGCTTGTAATCCTTGTTTATGCTGAGCTTGGTCCCCATGTAAACTGTCCCGAGTCTCCTTGGGGAGATGATGGCAGGATAGAAAAATAAAGTCATTATTATTATTATTATTATTATTATTATTATTATTATTATTATTATTTGAAACACAACAAGATGAGTCCACAGCAGACACTCTGCTGGCTGTTGTATTGTTGTCGGACGCTTCCCAAGTGTCTAGTACTATGTGATGTTTTGGCAAATAATGAGTGCATTATTGTTGTTGTTATTATTATTAGCAGTAGTAGTATTTGTTCAAATAATTAGTTGGAGAAATAATAGACAAAAGTCAAAATGCTCAAAAATTGCAATGCAGTAAATATTTTGGCTTCTTTCAATACTCAAAAATAAACAATTCATTGGTTGAAAGGCTTGACACCCTTTGCTCATAAGAGCTCCTTCAGAGGACTGTATAGGATCATATGCTTGATTGTGCTTTCCTGCATGGCAGGGGGTTGGACTAGATGGCCCATGTGCTCTCTTCCAACTCTATGATTCTATGATACTGTGATGTAATGGACAAACAGAAATTCAGAACACTTTGTAGCACAACTAAAAAAAACAAAACCCAACAGTTGTTAGTGATAAATGCTACAGGATAGTTCCTTTTTGTTCATGTCGTCTATGAATTGCATTCAAAGAACATTCTTGAATGTGTTAGAAGCACATTCAAGGAGCACAAGTAAACATCACAAAATATTCTATGGGATTCATTCAGACCTATGGGACACCTGTGGCCACTGTGTCTATTAGAGACACACTTCCAAGATTATTGAATTCACAGGCTGATTGAACTGGGTTGCAAGGTCAGGAGCATCCCAAAACCACAGACCTCTCGTGTCTCCTAGGGAGTAGTAGTAGTAGTAGTAATAATAATAACTTCATTTATATTCTGCCCTATCTCCCCATAGGGACTCAGGGCAGATTCCAAACATAAAAGACAAACATTCAACACCTGAACACAACAACAATAGAATCACAGAATCAAAGAGTTGGAAGAGACCTCATGGGCCATCCAGTCCAACCCCCTGCCAAGAAGCAGGAATATTGCATTCAGATGGCCATCCAGCCTCTGTTTAAAAGCTTCCAAAGAAGGGGCCTCCACCACGCTCCGGGGCAGAGAGTTCCACTGCTGAATGGCTCTCACAGTCAGGAAGTTCCTCCTCATGTTCAGATGGAATCTCCTCTCTTGTAGTTTGAAGCCATTGTTCCGCGTCCTAGTCTCCAGGGAAGCAGAAAACAAGCTTGCTCCCTCCTCCCTGTGGCTTCCTCTCACATATTTATACATGGCTATCATATCTCCTCTCAGCCATCCATAGTAACAAAATTTGCCAACCCAACATATAAAAAAAATTATGACTTAATAACTAAAATTAAATAAAAATGCAGCCTGTTATATTAGACATAAGACAAAACATCAGACTTTGAACAGAAGCATCAATTTTCCAATCCCTGGGGACAAATAGATTGATCATTGCTCAATATCTCTATTGAGCTGATGGGGCGAAAAAGGCATGAATACGGATGGCAGCGATTAATCAGAGGTATAATGGTAGTATTATTAACTACTCCTCCATGTCATAGGAAATGGTCTGTGGTGACATCATTCAGCATGATACATTAAGCCATGGACCACAGCTAATCAGAGCATGGTGTTCATACAGTTAACACCATTTAGGAGGAATTGATGTTTTGCTTTGTTTGCAAATGACTATGATGGGAGAATAGCCTTCTGAGGTCCGATGGGGGAATAATCCAATCCCCTTGCCTTCCGATAGTTGCTTATCCCTTCTTAAGAGCACACTTAGGCTGAAACTTACCAGGCTTTTCAAGTAATAAGTATATTATCTTTGAGTATCTTAAAATGTGTCACTTGTTTTTCTTGTGGCTCCCATTGGGTATTTCCAAATGTTTCTTGTTTTGAAACGATTAGCAGATCCTCACATGTATGTTGATGGCTTTCCTTCATTGTCTTTGCAGAAACAAGCAAAGAAATGAAAGCCGAGGAGCCGAGAAAGCGGAATACTGTATCCATGATGTTGACAAAGTATGCAGCTTACAATACATTCCATCACTGTGAACAGTGTCATCAATATATGGATATAAATACTTCAGCTTCGGTATGAACATAGGCCAGATTTTTACCTAATTGGTTTTAGATTGTAGGATTTGTCATTTTATCAGCGGAAACAGGAACCTCACTAACAGAAATAATTTAATGTCATCATCAAACCTCATCTCTCAGGACTCTTTTGGAGATAGTGTAGCAATCTAGTGATATAAAATCAACATTTAAGTTGTACTGCAGAGCTGTTCTGAAAATATGGGATATATATGCTGATATTGTGGATATATATGCTGATATTTTGGCCTCTTACCACACATTTTTCTGTCAGTGTAAGAATGTGGTCACTTGCACAAGATGTTCAGTTTGCAGGATATTTATTAAAGGAGAGAGAACAACATCGTTCTCTCTCTTTTAATACTGTGGTCATGCCAATAAAACCAAGCTATTGGAGATTCAGAACAGATTTTTTTAAAGTACATTACACTGCATATTTAAATTTTGTGGTTCACTTCCCAGTTAGCCAACTGCTTGTATGGCTATGAAAAGGGAGTAAATATTTTTTTAATTTTATCATTATGTATTATGTTTTTATTCTTGCTTGCATGTATATTTATTTGTTGTAAGCCACCCTGAGTCCTTTTGGAGAGGGGGCAGGATATAAAAAATTATTATTATTATTATTATTATTATTATTATTATTATTATTATTATTGTCAAAGAATCACTGGGTTGTTGTTTTCTGGGCTGTATGGCCATGTTTCAGAAGCATTCTCTCCTGACGTTACACCTGCATCTACGGCAGCCATCCTCAGAGGTTGTGATGTCTGTTGGAAACTAGAAAAATTGGGTTTATATATCTGTGAAATATCCAGGGTGGGAGAAAGAACTTTTGTCTGTTGGAGCTAGGTGTAAATGTTTCAATTGACCACCTTGATTAGCATTTAATGGCATTGCAGTTACAAGGTCTGGCTTCTTACTGCTTGGGAAAAATCCTTTGTTGGGAGGTAATTAGAAAGAACAGACAAGAGTTTTTTCTCCCACCCTGGACATTCCAGATATATAAACCCCATTTTCATAGTTTCCAAACAACCTAACATCTTCTGAGGATGCCTGCCATAGATACAGGCAAAACATCAGGAGAGACTGCTTCTGGAACATACAACCCAGAAAACGCACAACAACTTATTATTATTATTATTATTATTATTATTATTATTATTATTATTATTATTATTAAGGATCACACAGTTATTAGCTGCCATTCATCAAAAGAATGTATTACTTTGGTATCAGAGGCTGTTGCAGCCCAGTCTTGCATATAAGGCTAGATGGACCTTTAATCTGATCCTTCCAGCACAACATTTCTTCTGTTCTCAGTTAAGAAAAAAGAGTTAGTAGGCTGCTAACATAATATTTGTCTTACTAACAACATGAAAAGCAATAGTTATAGAAGTTTTGTGAGCCCTGGTGTAGTAAACAAGAAAAATAAATGCTGTGTAGTGTAAACTTGGGTGAATCAGGGTGGTGTTTGTGGTTTGAACCATGAACTACAACTCCAGAGTCCAGGACTTGAATCCCCAGTTTGCCATGAAACCCAGTAGGTGATATTTTTTCCCAGCAAGTCACACTTGTGATGGTTGTTTTTATATTGTGTTAAGCTCTTGTTTGTTTGTTTTTGTTTTATTTCGCTTTATGTTGCTGTTTTATGTCTTTTAATGTGTTATTTTAACTATGTTGATAGGTCTTGTCCCCATGTAAGCCATCTCGAGTCCCTTCAGGGAGATGGAGGAGGGATACAAAAATAAAGTTGTTGTTGTTGGTTGTTCTCTCCCAATTGTGATTTTTTTTTCCTGAATGAATCATACCAAGAAAACTTCATGTTAGGTTTCCCTCAGAGTTCTCATAGGTCAGAAATTACTTGGAGACAGACAGCAACAACAACTGAAAACCTTGGAAATAACAAATGCACCCAGTTCAGCTGTATTCTTCAACTTTTTTTTTGTCGTGTCAGTCACTTCTGGTGTGAGAGAATTGGCCGTCTGCAAGGACGTTGCCCAAGGGACACCTGGATGTTTTGATGTTTTACCATCTTTGTGGGAGGCTTCTCTCATATCCCCGCATGAGGAGCTGGAGCTGATAGAGGGAGCTCATCCGCCTCTCCCCGGATTCGAACCTGCGACCTGTTGGTCTTCAGTCCTGTTGGCACAGGGGTTTAACCCATTGCACCACCAGGGGTCCTATTCTTCAACTGATACAATACTTTCTATATGATCATTTTTCCCATGTCATGATTTTGGATTGTGTGGTTTCAATAATTGGTTTTTATGTCTAGATGTTTTTAATTTTATGGCTTTTAATGCATATGTTTATTTTATTTGTATATCTGTTTTATGTGGCATTGAATTCTTGCCTACTTGTTAGCCACTCTGAGTTCCCTTCGAGATGAGAAGTGTGGGATGTAAATATAGTAAAGAAATAAATGTATTGATGATCTATTCCTACAAATCCAGATATGCTTTATGTTGGCATGCAGAACTCCTAAGTAGATCATAATTGCTTTCTCTCCCTTGTATGCAGATGTCTGACTCCACCCTACACGCTTTTACATTCTCATCTTCAATGTTAGGAGAAGAGATTCAGCTCCATTTTATAATCCCCAAATCCAAAGAGAGCTATTTTGTCTTCAGCAAACAGGGCAAACATTTGGAAAGTATGCGTCTTCCTCTTGTCTCGGATAAGGTGAGTGGAATCTGTTTTAGATGCATCGAACAAGCCTTTTTTTTTGTTGTTGCTATAATTTGTCATTACGTATTACACCTGAAAAAGTGAGCAAATAAATAATACTTCAAACAGGTTTCTCTAGTGTCCAATTCCAGGTTTTTTAATTTTGTTCATCCTCTGCTTTGCCTTCTTCTAATCAGAATGCAATTGTAGGGCAGACACTTATCGGTTTATGGCCACAAGTAAGCCTTGAGCTAAAAGGCTCTGTCTTTTATCAGAAATGTGATGCTAATTTCACTGCATGGCTGAATTCCACAAGTTGATATGAAGAGCGCAGTTTAACCAAGGTTTAATAACAGGAGCCACTGTGGCGCAATGGGTTAAACCCTTGTGCCGGCAAAACTGTTGACCTGAAGGTCAGCAGTTCGAATCCACGTGACAGGGCGAGCTCCCTCTGTCAGCTCCAGCTTCCCATGCGGGGACATGAGAGAACCCTCTCACAGAATGGTAAAATATCTGGGCATCCCCTGGGCAACAACCTTGCAGACAGCCAATTATCTCACACCAGAAGTGACTTTCGGTTTCTCAAGCCGCTTCTGACACAACCCCCCCCCCCCAAGGTTTAATGAGGTTGTACCCACTCCCTGAAGACTCAAGTGTACAGTGTGAGGTTATCCTAGACTTGGCGTGATTTTTCCCTGTCACAATTATCCATGAACTAGTTACATATTATCTGGCCTAATGCACTTAATATGGGACTATCATAGAAGATAGTTCAGAAACTGCTTCTGATATAGGATTCCAGAAGAGGTAAAAAAGTACTGTGTATTCCCAAGATATGATTTTTGTTTATTCTTAATGCTAGTAAAGTCACTATTGATATAATAGGCTGTATAATTTTATTCCCCGCTTGTAGTTTATTGGTTGCAGTCCTTTTCCTTACACCTGTGCAACTTTCTTTAGGAGGACTATTGTGCTGTAATTCAGAATTTAAATAGATATATGCACAAAAGTATAGTGTACAGTGTCTAGATCCAGGGAAGTCAAGCTACCCCTCTATTCTGCTGTGGTCAGACCACACCTGGAATACTGTGTACAATTCTGGGCACCTCAATTGAAGGGAGATGTTGACAAGCTGGAATGTTTCCAGAGAAGGGTGACTAAAATGATCAAGCCCCTGGAGAACAAGCCCTATCAGGAGTGGCTTAAAGAGCAGGGCATGTTTAACCTGCAGATGAGAAGGATTAGAGGAGACATGATGACTGTATAAATATGTGAGAGGAAGTCATAGGGAGGAGGGAGCAAGCTTGTTTTCTGCTGTCCTGGAGACTAGGATGTGAAACAATGACTTCAAATTACAGTAAAGGAGATTCCACCTGAACATGAGGAAGAACTTCCTAACTGTGTGAGAGAGCTGTTCAGCAGTGGAACTCTCTGCCCCTGGAGTGTGGTGGAGGCTCCTTCTTTAGAGGCTTTTAAACAGAGGGTGGATGGCCATCTGTTGGGGGTGCTTTGAATGAGATTTTCCTGCTTCTTGGCAGGGTGTTGGACTGGATGGCCCACGAAGTCTCTTCCAACTCAATGATTCTATGAAACTACTTTTACCCTAACTGTACATTACAGCTCTCCTAGAGTTGGAGAAGTGGGAAATTTTTTACCTACAGTCTTTGGCAGACTTGCCTTGATGTAGTGAAGTACACATGACCCCTACAGGGCAAAAGAATGTGTTACATCAGAGGCAAGGATACCGTTGGTGTATGTTTGTACATAACATAGAATACATATGGTAGTGTCCTGTCACCAGCTGAGATAGCTGCTGAATTTCAGCTTTACTTACCAGTTTGTCTTTCCCTGCTTGCTAAATGAGTCTCATCACCAGAGAAAGCTCTGACTTCACCATTGCACCTAAGAATGGAACAACACCTGGAACAATAACAAGCATGATCTTATCTCCTTCTTTCTGCCCCCAGACCATTCAGAATCCGTAACCTGAAACACAACACATTCCTTCAGCATAGTGCTGAATCACCCAAAAGACAGGAGTCTTTCACCTATTAATTCCTCTAGGATCATATCCAAACGCTTTGTGCAGAACTATGAATAGACTGGACTGCTGCAGATTTAACTTGTTTAGAAAACACACAACTGTAAACATCATGGCAAGGAAATCCCCACAATTCAGCTCAGTTCAAGGGTCTATAGTACAGGAGCTGCAAGAGTTGTTTCTGGTTTTCAAGACAAGAGCAAAAAAAAAAAAAGGTGTCACAGGTCAAACCTGTGGTTTAGAAATTTTCCTGAAAATAAGGAAGCAAGGGAAATGATTGCCCTCTAGGTCAATTGATTTGCTCATTGATCTTTGTCCGCGTGCCACACTAATCAAAATATTGAGTAAGCTTATTGTAGTCCAGAGTCCCCCCTTGTGCCAGCAGGACTGAAGTCCGACAGGTCAGAGGTTCGAATCTGGGGGGAGCGTGGATGAGCTCCCTCTGTCAGCTCCAGTTCTCCATGCGGGGACATGAAAGAAACCTCCTACAAGGATGGTAAAACATCAAAAACATCCAGGCATCCCCTGGCAACGTCCTTGCAGGCGGCCAATTCTTCCACACCAGAAGCAATTTGCAGTTTCTCAAGTCGCTCCTGATACAGAAAAAAATATATCTTGTACTCCAAATCACAGAACCCAAATACAGTAGAGTCTTGGTAATGCAGCCTTTGCTTATCCAACCTTCAGTATTATCCAACACAGTCTGCCTCCCTCCCAGATCCACAGCTGTTACAATACATTGTGATGTTTTGGTGCTAAATTCGTAAATATAATAATTAGTACATAACGTTACCATGTATTGAACTGTTTTTTTCTGTCGATTTGTTGTAAAACATGATGTTTAGGTGCTTAATTTGTAAAATCATAATGTCATTTGACATTTAATAGGCTTTTCCTTAATCCCTCCTTATGATCCAACATTTTTACTTATCCAGTGTCCTGCCGGCCAATTTATTTTGGATAAGCGAGACTCTACTGTAGCTTCAGGGTGCAATTATAAGATGTGAATATTGTGCAAGGAAGATACAAACAACTAAAGACTTGAACGAACAAAAGGAGCTGCTGAATTTAGCAGATGACAAAAAGAGTCACAAACCAACCCTTTACAATCATCCATCTAACAGAGAGATGGCACTCTCCAGATTACATTATACATCCTTCCCATTAAAGCACTTACTTCAATTAATCAGGGATGACAGTTGGTGCTATTGCTAAGTGGTGGAGCTAAGTCAGTAATTAATTGTGTAATTAAGCACAGCCACGTTTTCTGCCTTTCAATGACCGAAGTACAAAGAAATTGGCTAATCTCTTTCTGGTTACAATTGTTGAACCTAGTGATCCTGAACTAGACTCTTGCTTTATTTCCTCATTTTTTGGTGATTTTCAGGTTTTTGTTCTCTGAAAATAATTATTGCACATATACTAAAGAACTGTCATATTTTGGGCAGGAAGAATTAAATTAAATGTACAAATGTGAGATGAGTTACACATGTGAAAAGGATATTGGTGTCTGAATGGCCTGATTTGGAAGGGGCAGAAAGCCAGTACATTGTTAGATAGTAAAAGTAAAATGTAAATGTTATTGTTATGGAAATACAGGACTTTAAACCCAACTGAGGTCTATCATACAGTAATATCCAATGTGTTCAACCTCCAAAATAATGGAATAATCCATTAGATAGTCTAGATATTGTATTTACTGTAAACTGCATTACATTGTGTGCAGCATTGTATATTGTACAATACTTTTGCCATTTACTGCACTGTCACATGAGCCAGTAATAAAAAATTAAACACATATACACATAAAAAGATTCATTGAACTTGTCCTTCCAACAGAATCTGAATGCAGTAAAGAGTCCCATTTTCACTCCTTCAAGTGGGCGCCATGAGCATGGCCTCTTGAATCTTTACCATGCTATGGAAGGCATCAACCATCTCCATCTTCTTGTGGTCAAGGAATATGAAATGCCACTTTACCGCAAATACTGGCCCAACCATATCATGCTAGTTTTACCAGGCATGTTCAACAATGCTGGAGTTGGTGAGTAAAGCAGGATGAGATACCAAAGTGCTGACATATTTCTTTTATTTCAAAAACCAGGAGGAGAAAAAGAATTGTTTCAATAAACAGAATTTGACATTTATTTGGCCATAAACCATTTTAAGGCAGGACACAGGAGTCGTTGCTGTAAAATATTTTTAAATAGAGGAATATTCCATCACTGAGTTGTTATTTCAAATATTTTTTTAAAAGCTCAAGTGTGTGGATGGCTTACATCTAGAGCCTACCTTATAATACAAGGAGCCCCTGGTGGCACAATGGGTTAGACCTTTGTGTCAGCAGGACTGCTGACTGAAAGGCTGACGGTTCGGATTCAGGGAGTGGAGTGAGCTTCCATCTGTCAGCCCCAGCTTCCCATGTGGAGGGACATGAGAGAAGCCTCCCACAGGATGGTCAAACATCTGGGCTTCCCCTGGACAACATCCTTGCAGACGGCCTATTCTTTCACACCAGAACCGACTTGCAGCTTCTCAAGCCGCTCCTGACATGAAAAAAAAAGCCCTAATAATACTGGCATTTGAAATTATTCCCAAGTGCCATGTATGTGATCTTCAGTCAGGTGAATGCACAACAATTACAATGATAGAAATAATAAAGAACCTTCTGTAGTATTCTGAAGGAGCTTTAAATTTTGTGAGATTTCTCAAGTTGGATTGAGCACAGTGATTGATTCTGCAACTGGCATTCATTTAACACTTTGCTATCCTCCAACTAGATCTAGCTTCAGTGTATCTTTACTTGTATTCTTGAATAATAAAACAGTATTTTTGTGTGCACACATATGCATTCATATCCATGCAATTGACTATCTCTGGCAGCTATAACTTACCCTGACGTAATACTAGACATCACAGAATCAGGGGTTTCTTTCCTACTATACAACTAGAGCATCTTGATGCCAATTTAAATGCCAAGATTTTGTCTTTGGGAATCATGGGATTTGTAGTTTCATGAGGTATCCAGAAATCTCTGCCAGAAAGCTTTAGGACCTCACGAGACTACACTTCCTAGAATGCCATATTAATGAGCAATGGCAATTGAAGTGGGAATAAAACGCAATAATGGAAGGCATAAGAGATATGTCTAAGGCAAAATTATCCCCATAGCAAACAGGAAGCAAGTGGGGAAACAGGAATTTCTGAGACCTCCTTAAGGGCATTTGGTGCACCCTTCGGCAGTGCCAGCTGCACTACAATAAGTAAAAGATTGAGTTCATTAGGTTCACTTGAGATATCACAACACCTGAGATAACACAACTCTCGATAGACTCAACAAGCTCAAAAATATTTGCTGAGATTTAGAAACACCGAGCTCCCCTTCCAAAAATAAATCTCTGTGCTGTTTGTTCTCAGGTGCTGCTAGATTTCTTATTAAGGAACTTTCTTACCATAACTTGGAACTGGAGAGAAACCGGCTGGAGGAGTTGGGAGTCAAGCGCCAATGTGTCTGGCCATTTATTGTTGTCATGGATGATTCCTGTGTCTTATGGAATAGTCATGGTGTCCAAGAGCAGTCAAGGTATTCAGGGTCTGTTGACTATTTAGCATGTGTGCTCTACTTATTTCCCCATCCAGAAAGCCAAGCTAAATCCCAGTGTTAGTATTCTGACACAGAGGTCTCCTCTTCTGTCACCTTGTGTCAGAATAGTTTTTCCACATAATACATCTGTCTAGTTGCATATCTTTTTTCCAACAACAGTTATTATAAATATTTCTGACTAAATTACATTAATTCATTCCATTTGTGTCCTGGTCCTCATTCAATGAATTCATGTCAATGTACCTGATTACTCTCTCCTTGTTCGTTTATTTATGAACCAATATATAGTGGTGTTGTTGAAGGTTTAAATGGCCAGAATCACTAGATTGCTGTGAGTTTTCTGGGCTGTATGGCCATGTTCCAGAAGCATTCTCTCCTGATGTTTCACTCACATCTATGGCAGGAATCCTCAGAGGTTGTGAGGTCTGTTGGAAACTAGGCAAGTGGAGTTTATATATCTGTGGAATATCCAGGAAGGGGCGAAYTGWYCATSTTGRKATTGCTGGAGGCAAGTGTGCATGTTGCAATTGGCCACCTTGATTGGCATTGAATATCCTTACAGCTTCAAAGCCTGGCAGCTTCCTGCCTTGAGAGAATCCTTTATAAACCCCACTTGCCTAGTTTCCAACAGATCTCACAACCTCTGAGGATGCCTGCTATAGATGTGGGTGAAATGTCAGGAGAGAATGCTTCTGGAACATGGCCAATACAGCCTGGAAAACTCACAGCAACCCAAATATATAGCTGTCCCTTCTGATGATTGTGAACTGTTRAGAGCAGCCAACAATTAAAACCAATCACAAAATATGAGAAAGAGAAGGAAACAAACATCCCCAAACGAAAGACAGAAACAGTCAGAATCACAGGTCTCCCTAATCCAAGTCCCAACAATTCATTCACTTCACAATCATAACGTGAAAAAGTTCTAATGGTTGCCCTCTCCTCACACAATAGTTAAAAGCCAGAGCCATAATCTTCCTAAAGCTGCTCACTTTCTAGCAGTCCCACTGCACACTGCATATTTCTTACACTTCTGTACTATAAGGTTTCTCACTCATGTTCTATAGTGTTGAGTACAATAACAATATTTTACCTTTTACAGTCAGCCCATGGAGCAAGGATCAACTAGTAAAAATGTGTCTCTGAAGAGTGTTCTACAACACATTGAAGCCACACCAAAAATTGTCCATTATGCAATCCTGGGCATTCAGAAATGGAACAGCAAGTTAAATTCCAACCCACCCAAAACTCCTTTCTCCAGGTGCCACATACATGACTTCATACTGCTCAACATAGACCTGACCCAAAATGTGCAATATGATCTAAACAGGTAGGCAAATTAAAATCTTTACTAATACGGCTTTTGGTTATAAGTGCAAACTTCTAATAGTTTTAAAATAAGACTGAGGGGTACAGATAATGCAATAAGCATGTGAAAGTCAGTAGAATTATTTCTCTGGGCTCCAGGAAGGCAGCAGCCCACCTTCCCCAGAGCTGAAAGGAGGGAGACAAACACGCTGCTGCCGAGTGCCCTCCTCTCAGCTTGGGGTCGTGGCAGGCGACTGCATCCAAAGCAGATGGGGGCTCGGGCAAAGAGCCCAAAGGGCCACATGGGGGCTCGGGCAAAGAGCCCAAAGGGTTTGCCCATGCCTGCTTTAGACAGTGTTAGATCAGCAACTTGTTTTATTTCCAGGATTGTACACATTTAGGTTTCAGTACAACTTTTTGTAAATAAAAGATGTAATAGAAAGTAGAAATCATTGTTTTCATTGAATCCATGTGATCCTATATCCAACTGTTTAGGTATTTCTGTGAAGATGTAGATTTTAATCTGAGAACAAATAGCAGCGGTCTCCTTATTTGTTGCTTTAACAACTTCAGCCTCATGAAGAAACACATCCAGGTTGGAGGTCAAAAGGACTTTGATATTAAACCAAAAATTATGGTGAGTGCCATTGTTGAACCAAAAAATGGAAGAAAAAGACTAAATAGTATCCCCCATCCTTTTCTCTCCCTCTCATTCTCTTTCATCCTTTCTATCCTTCTTTCTTTTTGAGTGGCTAAAATTGAATTTCCTTCCATTTTCATTTTGAAGTAACCAATGAAGTAAAAAGATGATTTATTTATTTATTTATTTATTTATTTACTTTATTTCTATACCGCTTTTCTCAGCCCTCAGGCGACTCAAAGCGGTGAACAATATCAGTACAAAATATCACAAAACAAGTATAGGGCAATTAAAAACAATTATCACATAAATCATTAACATCAGTATAACAATCATTAGCGTCTCAACAGTAAAATCAGAATCCAGTCTCGTCATCCATTATTCCGTATTCCTATGTTCAATTACACTGTTTAATCAAATGCTTGTTCGAACAGCCAGGTCTTCACTTTCCTCTGAACCACCAGCAGGGAGGGGGTAATACCCGAGTTGCCAAATTGCTCTAGGACAGTAATTCAACTCCCAGAAGCTATGGTTGCCTTAGCCATATGATGCAGGGTTCTGGGAACTGAAGTCCAGAATATCTAGAAGACTAGAGTTTGGTAAATGCTGTTCCAGGAAATATTGACTTAGTAGTGAGGGACATCCTGAAAATATACCCATGTAGAGCTGGAAAAAAGTAAAACACACAAACTGAAACCTGCCATGTGATGCTGGAAACATTAGTTACAACCAGGCCTGCATAGAAGTTCTGCTTCCCAGTGGTCATCTGTCTATGAGGCACAAGCGTTCTTTGTGTGAGGAATACGCAACCATTCAAGGGAAAGGAGCCCTGTTATTTCTGTTGGGCAAGTGGGCTTATTAACAAAAGACCCTCCTTATAAATGCACAGCAGAATATGACCCAGCACCAGTAGTCAAAAGTGATAAAAACAACAAAAACACACAGACCAATGTTATCTCTTCTATAGGAGACTTTTCTTTATAGCAAAATAATATGGTTGCACTATTTACAAGAACAAGGTACGACAAATAAAGTTCTTTACACTTCCTTCTTTGCTTCCATGCTAGGCTTCTTTCTTATGCAGATAAACAGCTTTGCTCTCGCGGAGCCTCCTCTCACACCAAAGTTACAAAGTAGCTTTACACACGAAAGCCTTCACATTGGAGCTTCTCTCACTGAAGCTTCTCACAGACTAAAGCCTACCTCACACTGTGAGGCCTTTGAGGCCTACTACCACTAAGGCCTATTCTCCCACTGAAGCGTTCTCTCACACAGAGAAGCTTCTCTCACACTGAGGCATTACTAAGCAACAGGCACACCTGCTTATATTGAACTGCAGTTTCGCTGAGTCATTGCATCCATTAATATTTCAGTGCTTGACTCACATTTTTGTAATTAATTTTTAATATTTTTTACAATTTCTTGTCCCAGCCGTAAAACATGCACATATACTTTCACAAGTGCATAGCGTTTGAACACGCGTATTTGGCAAGAACGATTATTCATGCATTCATTCTGCACTTTTCAGCATTGGCTGTGTCCTCCAAATATATTTAGCTGCTAGTGATACTGCAGATGATTTTACGTGTTGTTATCCCCACTGATCTCTGAGAAAGTGAAGTATGTAGATAAAGTATGAGAGTAGAGATCCAGGGCTCTAACATTAGTTGCATTTCTTGGATCAATGGAAAACGTGTTAAGGCCTGAGGACCTTTACTCTGTAGTAATATTTCTTTAACTCAGTGTGGTTCCACTAACTGCGCAGTATTCTTACTATTGTGCCCAACATTTTGAAATGATGAAGTCATTAGAGTTGCATCTGCAAGTATTTTTCTGATTAACATACAGATTTTATATATTAACCTCTTGTTGTTTTTACAGGTATCAGAGAGTTTGACTCCAATAATGCCTCTTCAATATGTCTGTGCTCCGGACAGTGAGCACACACTCCTAGCAGCTCCAGCTCAGTTTCTTTTAGAGAAGTTCCTTCAACATGCTACGTACAAGCTTTTCCCAAAGGCCATTCACAACTTCAAGAACCCTGTGTTGGCTGTTGACTGCTATCTAAACATTGGGCTGCAAGTATGTCTCTAGGAATCTTATAAATAGCTGAATCCTTTCTTTAAAATGAGCCTCTGAAAGAGTTTATGAAGCTGTAGCTCTAATGCTGTTTTGTAATTGCTACAAGTGGGGCTCCATCAAACTGTAGGCTAATGGCATCCATAAGTTAGCTCCTCTTTTTACTTCATTTTTTATGTTCCATCTTTTAATACATTTACATTTACTATGGGTTCTTCTTTTTAAATGTGATTTCATTCATACTTCTTCTGATTTCTGATTTAAACTTGCTGAGGGCAGTAATTTCAATTTCTTCTGGGGTTATCTAAATAAGGGTGGCAACTGCCAGGTCTGAGACCAACCTCTCTCCAGCTAAAGTTCACCATTGATGTTATGGCGGCAGATATGCTAAGTTATAAAAAGAGATAATATTCAAATCTGTATAACTTTCTGTCTTTTTCCCCGATCTAGGTAGCTCTTTGCTATGTCAGTTCACGGCCACACTCTGTTAACGTCAGCTACGAAGGGGTGTTTTTCAGTGGGCTTCTTCTATATCTTTGTGACTCTTTTGTAGGAGCAGATTTTCTTAAGAAGTTCAAATTCCTGAAAGGTAATACAATTTCTGCACTGACCCATTATTTAGTGCTTCCTTATTTTTTTCCTAGTAGAGTAAACTAGGCAATGCATGCAAGAACCTGTTGCATAAGGAAGGAGCTGTCATAATGTAAGGGACACTGGCATCACTAAAAACTTCCACTTCCTTTTTCCCAAGTGTACTTTAAATCTGAAAACTAAGGAACCAATGCCCTAAAAGCTAGATGGGCACTATACATCATATTCACCCCAGACTCTTAAGAAACATTCCTACTGAAGCTCTGTATTGCTCTTGAGTACCTCAAGATGTCCACTAAAAATAATTTAGAACCAACTGCTCCATAATACTTAATAATGTATGCACATGCAGAATGACTTTTTTGAACAATGCAAAATGGATTGGGTAGTTGTAGGTTTTCCAGGCTGTATGGCCATGTTCTAGAAGCATTCTCTCTAGATGTTTCGCCTGCATCTATGGCAGGCATACTCAGAGATTTTGAGGTCAACTATGAGAATGCTTGCCATAGATGCAGGCAAAACGTCATAGAATCATAGAATCATAGAGTTGGAAGAGACCTCATGGGCCATCCAGTCCAACCCCCTGCCAAGAAGCAGGAATATTGCATTCAAAGCACCCCAGCCTCTGTTTAAAAGCTTCCAAAGAAGGAGCCTCCACAACTCTCCAGGGCAGAGAGTTCCACTGCTGAACGGCTCTCTTACACAGTTAGGACATTCTTCCTCATGTTTAGGTGGAATCTCCTTTCTCGTAGTTTGAAGCCATTGTTCCGCGTCCTAGTCTCCAGGGCAGTAGAAAACAAGCTTGCTCCCTCCTCCCTGTGACTTCCTCTCACATATTTATACATGGCTATCATATCTCCTCTCAGCCTTCTCTTCTTCAGGCTAAACATGCCCAGCTCTTTAAGCCCCTCCTCATAGGGCTTGTTCTCTAGACCCTTGATCATTTTAGTCATCCTCCTTTGGAGAGAGAATACTTCTAGAACATGGCCATACAGCCCGAAAAACCTACAACAACCCAGTGATTTTGGCCATGAAAGCCTTTGACAATGCAAAATGATTTGTTGGTGCAGTTGGAATTTCAAATGTGGAATCATTGCAGATGCCCAATTACACGCTTTGAGCAGTATATCAGTGCAAATGGTGCAGTGCATACTGACACAGTACATTGCACAGCATGATAGATATGTGTATTTACTCTTTCTCATGCATTGTGCATCGGTGGTATTCAATATAGCAATTACATGGGACTATCATAACTCAGCTATTTATTTATTTCAGACATTTATATTTATATTTATATTTACATTTACATTTCGTCCTTCTCACTCCCAGAGGGGGACTCAGGGCGGCTTAAAACCAGCAACCATTAGATGCCAACAACAATAATAAAAACACGGTTAAACATTAATTAAAACATCATTGTAAGTTTAAAAGAACATTTAAAAGAGACAACTCCAAGTCTAAGTCCAGAGTCCTAAGCTAGCTCAGCCAACAGGTATTAATGTTACCCTAAGACAGTATGGGATCTCAAGTCACAGCCAAAACACTATTGGTACCATATGTCAGTGTAGGTAGGAAGAAGGAGGAGGCTGTGGACACTGTAGCCATGAAGAAATGAATTCATTAAAGCGGAACTTTCCAAACTGTTCATCGCAACATGTGTCAACTACAGTGGGGTTTGTTGCACAGACATCTGAGTCTATGTGAAATAAGCAATATAAATGAAAAGTTTTCATGAGTTATGTTGTGTCCCCATAGATTTCTTTATTATAATTTGTGTCTGTGTCTCTTATAAGGGGTTGGTTTAAATTCCATTTTGTAATAAAACTAAATTATTATGTCGCAAAATGATATGTGTCTAAAAAGCAAGCCATCAACATGAAATGTTTGGAAAGCTCTGCAGTAGAGGTACATAGTTGCTCGCAGCCAGCAGATTTTGACTGCCTACCTTTGCCATTGCTTTATTTCATGTCAAAAGCATTGCGTACATAAGTATAAAACTGATAAAACTAGAAGGAGCACAAGCAGCTAAATAATTTTTGATCAAAACCGTATTATCTGTAGCTTTAAACAATACTTCCTCTGTATACGAGGCAGGGCATTGTTGACAACTACACAGGTGCTGAGTTGTTTGTTCTGCTCCACAGTCGCACAAGGCAGAGGATTATTTCAGGTAGCCAGGTAGTCTTTTGATCTGCCCACTCCACTCCTGAGTCTGTCCAGGGACTTCCAAGTTGACCATTCTTGGTTTGCCCCTCAAGGTAGACCCATCCAATTGGGATTACCTGGTTTAGCTGCCCAGAGAGATGCTCTTGCTGTTGTTGGGGGCACATTAAGAGGAGTGGTGGTTCTCATGAAGCTTTTCCTTAATTTGAGTCTACTGGGAGGAGGCTGATAGCCATGCAGTGGGTGGCTTTCACAGTGTTCAACCTTATTTCTCTCACAGTTAGCAGCAACTTCAACACTAGAAATAGTCACTAATATAGCCCATCCACTGGATTACTGTTTGAGGAATCTCATCACAACAGATCCATTTCTGTGCTGGTAGTCTACTGAATATCTTTGTTTGCTGGAGGAAACCAATGTGGAAACCAAGAGAGAACAAAAGGCAACAGAAATCGCAGAAATGGCTACACTCCATAGCAGCATGCAGTTTCCACTAGTTTATCCTTGGCTTGTGTGCCCTTTTATGTGCTTAATTACAATAGGAAACAAAGCATGTGAAAACTATTTCCTTAAGAGTGGTATTTGAGATCCACCCCTCATAATTTTCTGATACAAACATATTACATACGCTATAAAATTAACCTAGAAAAGGATTTTTATTCAGGAGCAATCCTTACTTGTGTCTGGCTAATATTTTCAAATAGCAAAAGACATTTTAGAAAATAAACATGCCAGTTGATGAACCATGTTGCAAACTGTATTTTGTTTTTTGATCTAAGGTGCAACCCTGTGTGTCATTTGCCAAGACAGGAGCTCCTTGCGTCAAACTATAGTCCGTTTAGAGCTGGAAGATGAATGGCAGTTTCGTCTGAGAGATGAATTTCAAACTGCCAACAGTAGTGACGATAAGCCACTCTATTTTCTGACTGGACGCCATATATAAGCTTGAGAAAAATGATGAAGAGAAGAGAAACTAAAAAGTCTGACTGTGGTTTTTCCCCCTTCTTTCATTTTAAGTACAATCACTGTGGAGCAAAGTGCAACGAATAATTATGTTCACTAAGGATTTCCCAGATTTTTGGACCAGTCTTTATATGTTTCTCTGTTTTATGATGGAACGAGTATTCATTCAAGCTAATTCCTCATGGGCCAGCATTACAGAACATCATGGTATACCAACTGTGACCCAACTTAGGAGAATAACATTTGGGTAGATGCTGTCTCCTGAGCTCTTCATACTGTGCTAAATAGCGGAAATTGAACTGACTTTTGTTCTCTATCAACTTGAATGTGTTATACAGTCCACACTAAGAATGGGGAAGAATTTGAAGATAATATACTGAGGAATGATCTCTTGTTTCTCTTTGTATCTGTACATTTGGTACGGTAAAACTCAGGGGTTTGAAATGAAAAAGTAACATAGATATTTGTGTTGAAAGGAGTAATCTTTGTTCACTTTCTGTGCAGTGTTAGCTTAAGGTTTGTAATTTTATATGTATTGAAATTGTTTTGGCAAAATTTTCACAAAAGTTTCAACGTTTACTACATAAGCCTGAACAAATCAATGAATGTACAGCAGGCATTGTATGCACACACAGGTTTGTCTAACAGCTTTTGTTTCATCCTTTAGGGTAACCAACTTTGTTGATCTGAATCCAGAGGTCTCTATACAGGGATAGGACATATCCCCTAAATGTTATCAGATTCTTTCTCTGCGGTAGTATGTATCAAATTTAAATTTTAAAACCCAAGCTGTAGGGAGAAACCTTGAAAAATAGCTGATCAGCCAGACTAAATAGATTACTTAGGCATGTGGTCTCTTGCAGTGTATTTAAACACCACTGAATGATTTCCAATACCCATTGGGAAGTGACTAAGCAACCCATTGTTTTGTTCTAGCTTGGTTGTTACACCAGTGATATTCATGGGTTTTAATCATCATCATCATCATCATCATCACCACCTTCCTCCTCCTCCTTCTCCTCTTCCTCTTCAATCAGTATCTTGCTTAAGCCTCAGGTCTTGTGGGCAAATAACACTATTGCCTTATTGAGAGCATTTGCTGTCCCGTTAAAGATTTTAATAGTTTTTAATAAAGTAATTAATGACAAAAGCAAATCAAACCACAGGCTGTTGAGATTCAGGAAACATGCTGCCAAGTGAAAAATTCCCCCAGCAAGGAGAGAGGAAGGCTCATGGATGCAGCTCTATCTGTTAGGCTGCTGGCCACTTGGGCCATGTTCCAGCTACCCTAATGTATCTGAGGATGATAGTGCTTCATACCTCTCAACCCATAAGGTGGCTCCTCCTTCCTCGGGTGCATGAAGACAGCTGGATCTCATATTAGCAGGTACACACCTACAGCTGGCAGTAGTGGGATGGAGCTGTGTCTGTGAATCCTACAGCCAGAGCAATGCAGCACCTCCCAAATTATGTATTTCACCTACATAATTCCTTAGGCTGAGTTGGGACCAACAGTAGGAGCCATGGTTTTTTAAATGTCTTGAATACATCTAGAAATTCTGGTTAATTTATTTTAAAGCAGTGGTGTCAAACTTGTACTTTGGACTTCCCAGAATTCCTGGCCACTGGACAAGCTGGCTAGAAACATAGAATCATAAGAGTTGGAAGAGACACCATGGGCCATCCAGTTTAATCCTTTGCCAAGAAGCAGGAAAATGACATTCAACGCACCCCTGACAGATAGCCATCCAGCCTCTGTTTAAAAGCCTCCAAAGGAGGAGCCTCCACCACACTCTGGTGCAGAGAGTTCCACAGCTGAACAGCTCTCACAGTTAGGAAGTTCTTCCTCATGTTCAGGTGGAATCTCCTTTCCTGTAGTTTGAAGCCATTGTTCCACATCCTAGTCTCCAGGGCAGCAGAATTCAAGATTGCTTCCTCCTCCCTGTGACTTCCCCTCACATATTTATACATGGCCCTCATCATGTCTCCTCTCAGCCTTTTCTTCTGCAGGCTAAACATGCCCAGCTCTTTAAGCCACTCCTCATAGAGCTTGTTCTCCAAACCCTTGATCGTTTTAGTCGCCCTCCTCTGGACACATTGCAGCTTGTAAACATCTCCCTTCAATTGTGGTGCTCAGAATTGGACACAGTATTTCAGGTGTGGTCTGACCAAGGCAACATAGAGAGGTATCATGACTTCCCTGGATCTAGACACTATACTATTTATGCATGCCAAAATCCCATTGGCTTTTTTAGCTGTTGCATCACATTGTTGCCTCATGTTTAACGTGTTGTCCACAAGGACTCCAAGCTCTTTTTCACACATATTGCTGTCAAGCCATGTGTCCCACATTCTGTATCTTTGCATTTCATTTTTTTCTGCCTAAGTGGAGCATCTCGCATTTTCTCACTGTTGAATTTCATTTTGTTAGTTTTGGCCCATCTCTCCAATCTGTTAAGATCGTTTTGAATTCTGTTTCCTATCTTCTAGAGTATTAGCTATCTTTCCCAATTTGGTGTCTTCTGCAAAATTGATGATCATGCCTTTAACCCTTCATCGAAGTCATTGGTTCTCAACCTGTGGGTCCCCAGGTGTTTTGGCCTACAGCTTCCAGAAATCCCAGCCAGTTTACCAGATGGTAGGATTTCTGGGAGTTGAAGGCCAAAATATCTGAGGACCCACAGGCTGAGAACCACTGATCTAAGTCGTTAATAAAGATGTTGAACAGAACCAGGGCTAGAATGGAACCCTGCGGCACTACACTTGTCACTTTTTTCTAGGATGAGGAGGAAGCATTGGTGAACATCTTTTGGGTTCATTCGCTAGAGCCTCTTGGAATTGGAGTTTGAAACATCTGGAGGGCCACAAGCTTGACACTTCTGTTTTAAATGCATAAGGTTTGATCCAAGCAGAAGACTCTCAATGGACTCATGGACACGTTTTCCTCACCATTTCCCATCCCTTCACATGCAATCTGTAGGAATGGGAAATCAGTCATCTTTTTGAACAGTTTATGTGATCTAGCAGCTTGGGCTATGATGGTTTACATCTTCCTCAGAAGAAACTTTAAGCTGTGGATTGTGGGAAAGGCATAAGAACCTCCATCTGCAATGCCTCCTTATACTGCTTGCAGGTGTGCTTCACAGAAATAAGGAAAACCCAAGTCTCCTGAAACTCTTTCAGATGCAGTTACCGCATGTATGTCAGACTGGATCCAACAGTCCTTTTGCTTGTCTGAAATGGAGAGGTGTGTCAAAATAGCATTACTTTAAACAGGTACTGAATTGTTTTAAAATGAACTTCTTTGCACCAGCACTTTGTGCTGTGAAATAGTCTGAGTTTAAATAAATCTAGTACAATCGGGTCTTCATACTGTAGTTAACAATGATGTGGTAGATTCATTTTCTTTTTCCAGCTTTTCTTGGTTATTCTTTACTATATTGATAGTTTTTCCTTCATAAACATTCTTACACTTCTTTGTGTTGCACAAAATTTTAAGACTAGCAACCTGTTTCAGAAGATGGTGAAATTAATATTCATTTGCATTACATTGATTATACTTAACTGTGACTCAGTTAAGAAGCACCTGCCAAAACTGCATTTAGAACAAAGTGTTAAAATCATGCAACTTTTTTTACCTTGTGAAAGAGCTGTTTACAAATGACAAAAAGCATAATATATTGATTGAAGTTAAAAAGGGAAGTAGTGGTTTTCAAACCAATTGGTTTTATTATAGTCTTACTTAAATGTAGCATATTTCAAATGAACAATTGTTTACTTTAGTATAGATTTGGGATTTCTTTTTGTGCCCATACAAAATCTGCCTTATAATTTAGTGGATTGTTGGGTAGATGCTACAGTTTAGGGGCTGTAAGACTGGTGGATTCACTGGGACAGCCTACAAACACATGACTGCTATTCTAGGGATATCCTTGTTCTGGTTCTGTCGGCAAGATTCAATGCCTACATAGTTGGAATATAGTTGTTGAGTTTGCAGAGAGCTGCCATTTTATTGTAAATTTGCAGCTGTAAAGCTTTCAAAACTTTCTTTGTATATTTGATGTTTGCACTAAGTTCTTAAAATTCCAGGTGCTGAGAATTACACAATTAGACCTTAGATAAAGAAATATCTGTAGGTTGAGGACTTGGAGACCAAGGGCCTTTTCACACAATCCAGAGTTTGGGGCCACATTTGTGAGGAAGCTTGGGTTATGTTTCTGAGCCAGTATCTAGAAAAAAAAATGTACCATATTCTAGGTACTGTATTTCCTTCTCCTGGCACAAAATATCACTTTTGTAGCCATTTACAAAGAAATACATTTAGTTAAAAATAATTGTGTAAAGCATTTGCACTCAAGTGCTATCCAGTTCATGCAGTTTGTATTTAGAATTTCTCCTTGTGCACTCCCTATTGAGCAACTTATGCAGGACTGTGAGTTTTGTTGTGTTCTCACTGGTGGATGCCTACACGTTTCACTACAGTTACTAGGGAATGCTTTGTGTGATTGTGTGGAAAGATCCTGAATGCTTTCTCCTGTACTGGATAAGAATAATTGATCAGTCAAAACAATGTCACCAATATAAGAAAGAAGCATTTTGGTTGAAGCATTTTAGGAAATGTATTCATACACTAATCAAAAAGTTTAATGGAATACATTAATATGTGCTTCTTGAGGTGTGGCATATGGGAGAGAAAAGAATCCGCAAGCCACAAAATGCCACCATATTGTTATTTTAGCTACAGGCCTTGCCAGAAGAGAACGACATGAATGTATTCAATAGGCCAGCATTATTTACCTGCAGACTTGTTCAACATGAGTAAGTGACAGGTCACAGGTTGTACTGAATGTAATCTGTAATTATAAATAAATCACTCAGATATTTCTGTAATTTATGCAGTGCTTTGTGTGATCTCTGAAAAGGAGTTAAATGTTGCATTCTTAGGACTGATTTTCACTTGACCAGTTTCCTACACATACTAATTTTTGTGTAAATTATGGGATGGCAATGGCCAGGATCCAATGGGAGATTATATTTGCTGACAGGAGTACTTCCTCACACTGCAATCTCATGCCGCTGAAGCACCTGTCCTAGAAAGCTGGGAAACTCTGTGGAGTCAGTTTTCAGGTGCTACTAATGGGGAAAGAGCACCGAAATAAAAGTTCTGATATGCTGGTACATGAGACCAACATCAGTATAACATTGGATTTAGGCTACATGAAAAATTAGCTACAACTAAAGCATCTGTATGAAGCAAAAATAATGTGTCCAGCCATTCCGTAAGTACACATACTGAACCAGTCTGTGTAGGAAGCCCATCAGGTTCAAACCAGTCCTTAATATAAACTCTCTTAACCAAAACTTGGTGAATTTAGCTTCACTAGTCAGTCTACCTCACATTTTATTGTTTGAACTGAAATTGTCTGCTGTTGTGGCTATAGTATGTTTATAATGTCCTTTCATTAAATTCAATGAATGTTCCATTACTTTAAAGAGTCTGTCCTATTTTTCATTTCGTATAAGGTTTCTCTACGTCAAACAATTTTTTGGTGAATCAACAGTTGTAAAATTCCCTTTATCAATGTTACAGACACATGCCATGGCATCCGCATATGATTTTCTAGTATTTCAAAGGCAAGTTGAGTTAAGTACTATTCATATTTACTCAAGTATAATGTGCCATCAAATGTAATGGGGACCTTAATTTTGAAGGTGCATATTGCATATTACAAAAATGGATTTGCTCTCAAATGTAATGTGCTCAGCAGCAGAGGCACAGCATGCCAGGGAGGGCAGACAGAAGGCAGCATGAATGAGGCCATTTGGGAAGCCACACCACTTAGTCAGGATGAGACTGGCAAACTCACTAGCTTTGCACTGTTCCCAACTGGCCTCATTCATAGGGCCTTCAAAACCGGGGGGGGGGGGGGTGAAGGCCTCATGAATGAGGCCCTGAGCTTTGGGTGGGAGGTGTGGGGGCAAGAGACCTGATAGCCACCTAGGAGGCAGGATCAGCAGTTAAGCGGTAGGATCGCTGCTTGGGTCCTCTGCCTCCTTCTCAGGGCACCACAGAGTCCTGAGGCTGCTGCCGTTGCCACCAAAAACAACCTCTTCACAAACCCACCCTTCCTCCCCATCCATCTCCGGGGCTTTTCACACAGGTAGGTTTACGCACACAATTCTAACATGCCATTGAACCTAATGCACATCTAGTTTTGGCAATAGAATCTAGCTAAAAAGGTGAGCATTAAGACTCAAAAAAATATCATACACCCTGATTAGAAGTTGGCACTTCAGAATAGATTAAGAGATTCAAACATGATACAAATTGCATTAGTAATATTACACTCTTCTGTATTCCTGAATAAGTGTTTGTATTGCTTGAAATCGGGCCTTCATGCTGTGAACATATAATTAAGGCAGGTTGGAAAGAAGGATGCTAAACAATAAAATAAACGTGATTTGATTTGACTGGGCTCATTCTTGGAGATGTTGAAGGAGTGACTGAGGACTATGAGCTCTTATGCCTTAAAGATGTTTAGTAAATGATAGTCATTCCCAAATCATTATTTTGATACACGAGTCAGACTTCTGTTTCCATCAGTTTTTAATATTCAACCATATCAAAGTAATTGCTTAAATGCATTTATCATTAGTACATTATTTAAAAAAATTATCAAATAGCTTAGTCTTAATCTACATTATATACAGGTCAAGAAAGGCCACAGTAGCTATTTCAACATAAGCCCTCTCTGAAACTGGAGGGGGTTTGGGTTAAAGTAACAAAGTGAAGTCCACAGATGAAGGTATATATCCAACATGTTATAGTTCAGGCATGGGCAAACTTTGGCCCTCCAGGTGTTTTGGACTTCAACTCCCACAATTCCTAACAGCCAGTAGTTGGGAGTTGGAGTCCAAAACACCTGGAGGGCTGAAGTTTGCCCATGCCTTCTATAGCTGAACAAATTGAGAAATCTCATCCTCTTTAGAGGCTAGTCTCTATGTCCCCTGACCTTTTAAAATAAGATCCAGATCCCTACTGAAACAATGTGCTAATTGTCTTGGACCATTTTTGATATTAGGTATCGTTTATTGAGGATGCAGCACCTTCACTGCTATACCACCAATGGCAAGCTTTTAATCAAAAGCACACTTTCACTGCCCTGGTATATTATTACTCTGTGAACTTCAAAATGTACCTAAAAGGTGACCACAGCTCTTGCACTAGTAGACAGTCCACTATGAACAATTATACGCTGCATGTAAACATGACTAAGTTACTATAGATAATACATACAATCTTTTATAAAAAATAACTTCTCAAAAAGCCACCCTACATCTGCACTCTTTACAGTTTTAATAAAATATAACAACCACCTTTTTGGTTGTTACTACTCCTGAGTTCACTGCTTAATAGGTGTCCCATTCTCTTGGTCAACATCCACAGCCAGGCAACAGGTTTTAACAAGTTTTCTTTGTCTTTTGCTATAAAAGTTCACCTTTAAATGGATTGCTGTCCGCTGAGAAAATTATATACCAGGAACTGACTAGTGCCAAAGTATCGTGTTGCAAACAGTTTCCCATCAGGTGTAGGATCAGAAAATGCAATTTCTTCTTTGCTCAAGTATGAACCATATATAAAGTTGCTCCTGTTTAAAAGATATTTTTATAAATTACTGTAGCAATAACACCCCTTTTAAAACAGCTGTCTTTCTATTGATGTGGTGTCTGTGAACAAAATAACTGCCAATTATGACATTCTTATACAAAACTATCAGCAATGAAAATACTTCCCCATTATCCATTTCATTCAGTAATACAAAAAGTAGTTAAGACAGATACGTTGTGGGGTTTTTTTTTTCTTTCCTCCAGCCTCTCAATTGGCATATAAACTTGGCTTCTCTTTATAATGAATATAGAATATTTATAGTGTGTTTCAGAATATTTAGATTGTTTGATATATGAAACAGCTTCCCAAAAATGCCATTGAAGCCAATAACAATTTTTATCAGTGATGCTATTATTACACTTTTTTTGTTCCTGGGTTATAAATGACATTTTCTCATTGGTTCTATCATAAAAACATGGAAAAGTGTATTAAACTGCAAAAACATTGGTTTTGCAGAACATTCTGCAGCAAATTTTGCTATAATTTTTCAATGAATATCTCAACCAATTCAATATAGTTTGTGGCAGACAGAAAAATGAAGTTTCTTGAGTGTAATAACTACTTTCAAAGTAATTACCGCAGTATTAAACAGCAAATAATCCTTTCAAACCAGGAATAGAAAAAGTTTCAAATTTTGTTACATAGTAGTAGTATTCATAGATTCTAGTTAGCAGATATTCATGTTTTAGAAGATCTTAACCCACCTCATGCCAATACAGTGAAACCTACTTACTTACCTCAAGCACTCTAACATTCGAGAAGCTATTTTCTTCCGACGCATCATGCTAAACACCCAGATACGACTAATGCCACAGAGAGCAGGCTCTGGGGATGTAGAGCAGCACCATGCTTTTTGCCTTTCAAAAGTGACTTTCTCGTTTTCTGTACTGACTTCTGGAATCTTTTCTTCAATAACTCTGTAGCCCTTGAGGAATCAAAGAGTGGACAGGATTTTTATTGCCAAGGCTCCTCTTTCCTCTCCCAACTGGCAAAAATCCCACCAAGATGCAGTGGATTCATTCTATGGGCTTAAGTGAGAAACAATTAGGCTTCTCCTCAAATTTGGCCCCCCAAGCCATCCCAGTGGGACCATGAAAAAAACTATAGTTGAACTCACGTCTAGGTTTGATTCCCCCATCACTCTTTCCTCCCTCTTGTTGGGTCACCTGATTGAGACTGAAAGACTGTAGGCAGAGACAGTCTAGTTTTTAATTGGCTGTGAGTAAGCCAACAAAAAAGTAATGTGAAATGCTTCAACTAATAAATGTATAATGAATTAAACCTTACAGAAAATTTCCAGGACAAAGGGAAAATAGAAACAGTCGTTTTTCAGGAGACAGCATTACTCACCCACTGGATATGCTCTGCAATTAAGCAGCCAGTTACTTTTTTATCATTTGAAATAAATAATAGTGTTTTTGTTCTGGAACATGTAACAGGAGCTTGTTGAAATCCAAGGTCATTATCTACCATTTCTCTGATCTCATCAATCTGCCAGAAAGAGAACAACAGGATCAAAACGTGGATACACGTACTTGTTGTAAGGACTGGATTTTTGAAGGGGTTCTTTTCTCAAAACAACAACTGTCCACAAATAATGAAGATGTGGAACATATCTGGCCCATCAGATCCAGGACTGCAATTATCATGTTGGCTAGGTTAGCTGAGACTCATGTGTGTTTCAGCTCATAACTTTTGATGGACCACACATTCCCCAGCCTTAGTATTTACTGAAATTTGGTTCCACAACCCCCTGTGGATACCAAAACAAATTGATGTTCAAGTCCAATAATATACAATGATGTAGTAAAATACACCCCTTGCATAAATGGCAAAATCAAGGTTTGTTTATTGGATTTTTTAAAAAATATCTTCAAGCAGTGGATGGTTTAATCCATGAATATATGGAAGGCCAATTGCATCTACAGTACATCTCAATTGCTAAAGTTTTGGAAAATAATAACTATCTGATTTTTGTATTATTAAGAATGCCTCAATAAGGATACCTTTTTGCAAACGTAAAGGCCAATCTGCAAACTGGACTCGTTATAAATTCTAGGAGCAATATTTATTATAAACTTCTCTATCATAGTAACCCACAAAAACTAAAACTCTTTACACTTTAAATGCTTACACTTCTCAACAGACACTGACCAACACACATGTTGGTACCTCAAATGTAGGACCTGTTTCTGGGTATATTTGACCTGCTGATTCCAAAAATGGCACCAGTTTTCTCCTATAAACTCTAGTTTTAGAGATAAAGAACATATGATATACCAGGGGTCCTCAAGCTTTTTAAACAGAGGGCCAGGTCGCAGTTCCTCCAAATCTTGAAGGGCTGGATTATAATTTGAAAGAAAACATGAATGAATTCCTATGCACACTGCACATAGCTTATTTGTAGTGCAAAAACACTTAAAAACAATACAATAATTAAAATGAAGAACAATTTTAACAATTATAAACTTATTAGTATTTCAGTGGGAATTGTTTTGGCTGATGAGATAGGACCGTTGCTGTTGTTGTGTGCTTTCAAGTAATTTCAGACTTAGGTTGACCTTGAGTGACGGCTGGGTAAATGACCTTGGAGGGCCGTATCTGGTCCTCAGGCCTTAGTTTGAGGACCTCTGCTATATACCAATCTTCATCTGCTCACCCATAGAAAATAATTATAACCATATCTAGGAAACGTAAGGGTGGATGTGGTCTATCCAATGCAATTTTCTGAATCGGCACCCAAAACAACATTAGGAACAGTCTTAAAAACCAAGACACCAATATTTTTTTTTTGTTGGGCTGTGTTAGATCATGGAT